GACTGGTAGATGGTACCGCCATCGCGAGTGCGCGAGCTCCTATCAGAAATTCGTTGTGCCGCCCTTGGGGGCAAAAAGCGGTGAAAGCTAACGTACGAAACCAGAGGGCAGCACAGGATGCGATCGCACGATCCTGCCCGTGAACAATCTCCCAACTCATCTCTGGTCTGTACTTCCACTTAAATTCTTTGTGAGCATCGCCCAATTCATTTTTGATTTTAAAGTGCAGGTAATCAGAGTTTTTAAGCGAAAATTGTTACAATATCATCCGATCCCATTTAAGACTGAATCTTGGAAGAAGGTAGCCAATTTAAACCAAATGGCAACCCTCGAGGATAATTCTCTTTGGGAAGATGGAGCGGTAATACGATTTTCTTGTATAACTTATAGGTTATGTATGGCACAATTGACAAGTCATTTCTAGTTTTTCATTCTTACAGCGAGTGAAGGTTATTATTTTGTGGTCATGTTTCAAATTACAGGAAAGCGTGCGCGAAGACGTTTTGCGGATGTCCACCGATGAAATAATATCTCGTACACGTCTTCTAGACAATGAGATAAAAATCATGAAGAGCGAGGTGATGCGAATTACACATGAACTCCAGGCTCAGGGCGACAAGATTAAGGAGAACACGGAAAAAATCAAAGTCAACAAAACGTTGCCGTACTTGGTATCTAATGTCATAGAATTATTAGATGTCGACCCCCAGGATATGGGGGAGGAAGATGGAGCAGTGGTTGATCTGGATGCGCAACGGAAGGGCAAATGTGCAGTTATTAAAACTTCAACTCGTCAAACTTATTTCTTGCCTGTGATAGGCCTTGTTGATGCCGAGTCACTTAAGCCAGGTGATCTTGTCGGCGTTAATAAGGACAGTTATCTAGTACTTGAAACATTGCCCGCTGAGTACGATGCCAGAGTCAAAGCCATGGAAGTAGATGAGAGACCAACTGAGCAGTATTCTGATATTGGAGGATTGGATAAACAAATTCAAGAGCTGATCGAAGCTGTCGTATTACCGATGACACATAAAGAAAAGTTTGAAAACTTGGGAATTCAGCCGCCAAAAGGAGTGCTTTTGTATGGTCCACCTGGGACTGGAAAAACATTATTAGCAAGGGCTTGTGCTGCGCAGACAAAATCCACGTTCTTAAAACTTGCTGGGCCACAGCTTGTTCAAATGTTTATTGGTGATGGTGCTAAATTGGTGAGAGATGCATTTTCCCTGGCAAAGGAGAAAGCACCAGCTATAATTTTTATTGACGAGTTGGATGCAATTGGTACAAAACGATTTGATTCGGAAAAGGCAGGTGACAGGGAAGTTCAGAGGACCATGTTAGAACTCTTGAATCAGTTAGATGGGTTCAGTTCAACTGCTGACATTAAAGTAATCGCTGCAACTAACAGAGTAGATATTCTAGATCCTGCATTATTGCGATCTGGTCGATTGGATAGAAAAATTGAATTCCCACACCCCAATGAAGAAGCTAGAGCTCGTATCATGCAGATACATTCAAGAAAAATGAATATGTCTCCAGACGTTAATTTTGAAGAGTTATCTAGGTCTACAGATGATTTCAATGGTGCTCAATGTAAAGCAGTTTGTGTTGAGGCTGTAGGTGTTACAAATCTTATAATCTATTTTGTTGTTAACATGTGTAAAAATTGATATAACTTTCATGTTTAATAGGGAATGATTGCTTTGAGACGTAACGCAACAGCAGTTACACATGAAGACTTAATGGAGGCTATCAATGAAGTTCAAGCAAAGAAGAAAGCAAATCTTAATTACTATGCCTAAGTATTGTCAACTCTTGCTATTGGAATCCTCTTTAACAATTACAGGTATATTTAATCAAAAAGGTCCTGTCTTAAAAGGAAAATAAAGTTGTAGACAAGTACATATTTGTAATTATACAATTTTGGATGCAGTAATAAGTATTCTTATATTCTGAAAACTCCTTTCTTTTTTAATTACTTTGTATTCGCCTTGCTCTCAGAAATATATACAAATACTAATACTCTTTTTAAGATATTGAATAAGATGGAAGAGTGAAGCACCTAATTACTATAATTCATATTGTTTATGAGATTTTTACATCAGTGAAAAAACTAAATGTTTTGTATACATTGGTACAAATTGAATACTATGAAGTAACCGATATTAATCATGGAATAAAAATAATTATTAAGTCTATATTTAACAAATAGACCATAGTGGTTATTTTGTGACAAGTGGTTTTTTGTGAAAGCAAATACTTCAAGTTCTTATATAATTATTACATTAAATATAAAATAATGTGTTCTATTCTTCGATGCTACTTCCCCAGCGAAAGAATAGAAAGAGATATCTGTTAACGGGATATATTTGTCACTTGTAACTATCGTCTTCTATGACTTCTTTTCTTAATCCTGAAAAACAAAAACGTGCATAGTATTGATTTATGGTAGTCTTACAGTTTGGACTAGATAAAATAAAAATTTCTACACGGCAGCATATTATGAACTATTTTACATAAATAATTTATTAAAAACTTATGAAACTTACTTCTTTGGTCCTTTCACGAAGCACCAATCAACATAAATAGTTTGGTCTAATATTTTTGTACCATTAAGGGCTTCTTTTGCCGCCAAAGCTTCTTTAAAAGTTTCATATTCTACCAGTGCATAACCTTTTAGAAATCCAGTCCTTCTATCTAAATTTAAATGCAGATTTTTTATTTGTCCAAACTCTGAAAACTTATCTTGAATATCATCTTCTTGTGCCTCTTCATGTACTGAGTTTATAAACAATATCCATCCTTCTACAGCTAAAAATAAAATTCATAATTTAATATTATTTATGAACAATGGTCTTATACAAATATTCTTGTAGATAAATTATTTACATCTTTGAGGCCCCGGTTCATCGTCATCATCCTCTACAACATTCATAGATTCGTAGTGACCAACGTCATCTCGTGTTGAAACTAATTCTGCTCCATGTCCTCTGCCCTTCCTCTTTTTAGCTTTTTCCTTAAGGCGTGCGATACCCTCTGAAAGAGAAGAAATAAATTTCGATCAATGTGATTATTGAGAAACGTTCAGATTTGAAATTCTGTGTATCGCGTCCGTACAGGTTAGGACACTTTCACGATTTACGATTAGTAATGGTAAATTATATATTCATTGAATAAACTACTTACGATCGCCTTCGTCATCTACTTCAAATTCTTCCGCATTATCAATATCCAAAACATCTGCCATATTGCAAAATTTTTAAAACACGCTTAGAATACACCTCCACTTCTCGTGGGAACGATAAACAGAAATGCCAATTTTACAAAATGGCGGGGAGTGGAGTACATATATATATATATATATATATATATACATATATATGGTTATCTCGCGGACCTACTGCCCTCTCCGGTCGCGCGGCGTACTAGCTGCGGGAGCAGCTTGAAATTTCAATCGCCCAAGAGCCCGCCGAGTCGAGTCGTGGCGTGCCATGGCGTGCCGTAACGTGCCGTGAAAACTTCTTCCATCGTGATATGTTATCTAAAATAATTTCTCGGTACCAACAAAATCCGTGGACGCCTATATCAAATCTTCGGAATCTGTGACATTCCGGGATGTCCTAGCAACGGTGCAATTTTAACTTGATAAATGATCTTGTACTTTGATTTGTCGGCTCTATAATTAAACGTAACCGGAGCTCCTCAAGCTTTTATATATGACGCGAAATACGAGATATAAGGGATTCTTATAATGATTATGAAACGTAACACCAGCTTGATAAACAAGTTGGCCGCCTTACGTATCTTTCATTGTCTTTTCCTAAAAAATGGAGGGTGACATTAGAATCGATGTGATCGAATACCTATAATTGAAGATGACGCTTAAATGATTAAGCAATCCTTATGGATGGTGTAACGTGAAATGTATGATATTTGATAAACTGATCTAACGCTGATCGTTTTATTTTTTTTTCTCTCCTGAATTCTTCCTGTTCGTAAACCTAATGCCGATGAAATATGTTTAATTGTCAAACCTTCAAGATGGTAAATAAAGATTGAGGAATATTCTGTCAATCTTAGGCTGGCTGTCAGATATCCTGCAAATACCTGCGCACCGAAAAGGTCGACATTCATATGTTAAGTAACTTGACATCTGTCATAATTGTCGTACAGGAATATGAGGAAATTTATTCAAGTGGGAACTCCAAACATTAATCTATTACATTAAAAAAAAAAAATAGTTATGGACTGCAGAAAATCAACATCGTTCCTATAAGGATGGCAACGCCATTGACCAATCGTCTATGGGAGAACCGAAATTCGACAAACTCCATAATAAGTCGACTCGCGCATAACGAATTAACTCCTGCTTGGATGTCGAAGGACAAAGAAGTACGTGTACAAAGTTCGCCATTAAATTCCAAGGTTTACAATTTTAAGGTGAAAAACTCTATTATTTTCCCCATAGCCATTAAATTGGATTCGAAAAGGGAAGAACAAATCTGTGTCAAGAGCCACCACTTTAGCTACGCCAAAATGTCGGGACGATTTCTGTTTAAAATCAGAGCCAACCACGGTGATTGCACGATGTTAAGCTTTTTTCCTTAATTTTTATTTTATATCTTCATCTTCCTCTTCAGCGACGGTGATACTTTTTCATTTTTATAGGTCAAGCGGTCTGCTCTTCTATATGAAATAACCGAACGTACAAATCAATTAGCGAAACCGAAACTGCATCCTAATGACTTTAGAGACGCGGACAAATTGCAGATAGCAAAAATCAGGACGTATAAAGCTAACGATCGAATAATCGATTTAGCTAAACCGAAGGCTCTTTACGCCGTACCAACGAAGCCAATTGGTCAAGTGGCACCAAGTGCCTTGAGGGCTGTAGGTTGGTATTGCAGAGTAAAAGATTAGCCTATACTTGATTTAAAAAACAAAAAAAATGCGTAGTTCGATTTAATATATTTTCCCCTGAAATGTAAAATTATATGCATTCATGTAATGTGAGGAAACCTTTGTAATCGCAATATTTGGTAAAGACTATTTAAGCGCACTGCGTGAATTTTGCGGTTGAAAGTGCAAATAGATGTTCCGTAAGGTTGTAAATATAAACATAATTAATAGCAACGAAGAGAATTATCGAGCTATCGAAGCCAAGAAAGAAACAAGTAAAAAAGTCGCTGAAACCCCGAAGAATAGTCCTTGCCCCTTGCAGTGCAAGAGTAACTTATTTGGCTCGACCGAAACATGCCGTAAACTTTCGAGGAGAAGTTGCAAAACGTTTCTTAAAGAGACGTAATTTGGCGATTCAATCTAAAGCCCGGTAAGGATTGGACACTTTTTTCGTATTTTACTTCGGATGAAATCGACGATATCCTGTCTTTAACAATCTATTGCCCTAAATGTACCTTCGCCTTTTACATTAACTTAGGTTTTGTATAAAATCCCCATGGAAGAAACTTGGTCTCACGAGTAGAATAAGCGGTGGAACGAATAAAAAGAGGAAGAAAAATAAAATGAATAAACAAACGGGAATTGCCAAAAATTCTAATTCTACTAGGACTATCGTATCGATTCAAGATAACACTTCGTTCAAAAAGAAACAACGCAAAACTTACCGTAGCTAAGAAAAACGAACATAAAAGAACTCAAAAAAAGAAGAATAAGATATACAACATTTAACACAAGCAGATGCTGATACACATGAGATCTATAGTGAGATGTGTCATCCAAATGATTATTTATACCTGATTGTTTGTAGTACAATGGTAATTATTCAATTACACGTCTTCAACTCCTATTCATTCAAGTGTATGATATTTAATAAACTGATCTATCGCAGTTGAACTCTTTAACCGGGCAAAATCCTTTATATTGTTACTATTTCAGGAGTCAAATACATAACACGTGAGACAATTAAATGTAAAGTCATAAGGGAATTAAGAACTGCATAGGTATTCATATATGCATTATGACCTCGGTGTGATGCTAAGACGGATACCGTTCGCGTTTTCTAAAATGATATTTGATCTTAAGCATAATTTATCTTCGGGATCTAGAGATCGTACTTCAAAGGCTTTAAGGGTGTACAGAGTCATGAGTTTCACTGTCATGGCACCCAATCGCATTCCGATGCAGTTTCGCGGTCCTGCACTGAAAGGGATGAAACTAAAATTCGGGTATTTCGCGCCACCTTCTAGAAAGCGTTTCGGATCGTATTCCTCTGGATTTGAAAAATTGACTGAATCCCGATGCAACAAGTACGAATGGACGATGAAATTTGTCCCTGCCGGACACTCTACGCCATCTGAAAATAAATTCAAATTTAAATCTGAATTCCCAGAAACGTTGAATTCAGGGGAAGGGGAAGTAACCTTAGCTCAAATACAACAAAATACAATGCATATTCGCTTAAATGAGGCATTATGTAATATAAGCTGTTAACAATTTCGGCTGATTTGTTGTTAATGCTTACTTATTGTTATGGGACTGCGGCATGTTCTACCGAAAAGTGTTACGGGTGGATAAAGCCTCCAAGTTTCTTTGATGCACGCTTCCAACAACTTGAGCTTATTAAGTCCATCAAACGTGATTTCATCGGAACCGATTTCCTCGTGGAATTCGTCAAGAATCATTTGCTAAAAAGTTAACGTTGATCTTACTTCTTAGAACAGATTTAATCTGTTTTAAAGAAGTATTTACATAATGTAGTATGCAGGAATTGATTTAAACATACTTGGTACATCGGATATCTCCCAAGATTATACAACGTCCAGTATATACTTGTAGCCACGGTATCATGTCCTGCAAACATGAACGTATTCACCTCGTCTAAAACATCATTTTCGGATAAATTAGCATTATCGTCTAATGCCTCCAACAATAAGTCTAACATCGCCGTTCGCCTTTTTACTCCTTCACCGTTAATTGTATTTTTATTCAATTTCCTTGAAGCCATCCTATCAGTCATCACCTAGAAACATGGATATACGTAATACCTACATGCTTATTTAATTAATTAATAGATATTGTGTTAAGAGAATCGTTACCTCTCTCACGAAATCTTGAATAACATTTGCGGTCCTCAGATATTCTTTTCCCCAGACGGTGTTGAAGAAAATGACATCAGGATATAAGTGCACATTTACGATCCTCTTCTGTATAATTTCTTTAATGCTGCAAATAACATCCATTTATTCGATGTAAAAATTATCACAATTCCTATTTACCTTTCGATAGCGCAAAGGTACTTGTGGTCGTGTACTGACTGCGCATTAACTTTATATCCCATTACAGTCTCTGTAATAGTGAGATAATTATAATTAACCGTTTCTCACTTATAATATTAATACATAACACAATGTTTAAATGACTCACCGCAAATCACGTCGAGAGATGCGCGTTTCGCATACGGTACCATATCGAACTCTGATTTCCCAACTTCATTTCGAAGTACAGTCGTTAAAATTTCAGCCTCCTGTACTATGGTAATGAAAAATTTCTCCAAAATATCTCTGTGAAAAGTCGGAGTCAACAATTTCCTACGATAGTGCCAAATTTCTCCTGAAATTTCAAGCAGTTTGCCAATTTAGAGGTATGCTCCCTTAGATTATTAATACAATCGTTGAGAATTATTTCTAGTACGTGCTTCAAATTGTTCAGCGTATTGGTAGCAAGTACCTGTACTGGTGAGAAGTCCATTACCTAACCATAGTTGCGTATATTTATAATCCTGGCTTTTCTCTATAAAATGTGGACTGGAAAGCAATTGCTGAACAAACTCAGCTTTATATAGAAAAACAATTGGTCTTGTGGCTGCCCAAACTTTGAATACATCACCATACATTTTTCTCCATTTAAGGAGGTTCTTGAAGAACTCTAGAAAATAATAATAATTGATTAAGGCGTTGCTAATTAAAACAATAACTCACTTACTATAAATTCTGTAAAATTTAAGTCATGAAGTATGAAGTACAGTTGTATGATCAATATATTTGTCATCTCAAAGAGTATCACTCATTATTTTCTTATTCATTTATATTATTAACTGAATTTAACGTACTTTCAGCATCACCGTGTAATACAAATGCATTGCCAATTATTGGTAATGCAAACGGACATGGTAGTTTTTTTAATGCGTGGACAAACAACGCACGTTGGACTAACAAATTCAGAAGAATCACCAGAATGCCAAAAATCACTGTTAAAATTATCCAAGATCCGTTATATGTGAACAAGTACGTCGTCACTAAAGACATCTTCGCTGTTTGTCAGCCGCATGAAAACTGAACCAAACGAGGAAAATATAATTGCTTAACCCCTTCCGCTGGAATGACGTTGTTATATTCGTCGATGCTCGTGTGCTTCGAAACTGGAAATCAAGGCTTGATCACTGCAGAATGTATTCATTTCCATCACGAAAGGTTGAAAATACTGGCTCTTATGTACCATGAATCGTCTGATAGCTTTAATTCCTAGTTAAATTCGTTGGCAATGAAAAATGAATACATGTGACAAACAAAGATTTTAAATCAAAACTTAACAATGAAAACTAAATTTAATGTCTATCATCACAGGCAATTATTTTGGAAAAAATTATTATTTCGAAATAACGAAATAAATTCTTTCCTATATAGTTTCAATTATTTAGTCTTCTTTATCATTCGGGAGTACTTTACTAGAACGCATTAGCCAATCTTTTTTGTGCTGAAACAATGATAAGTGATTCAAATAAAACTTCAAGATTATTTGATATCTCTTTGCATATTTCATCGTCTCGGCAATGAATTAAAAATATTCCATAATGTAATATCAGTCCTTGACCTTTTGCCGCATTACAATCTGCATCAACTTGCGTCGTTTTTTTTTTCGATTTACTGAACGTTAGTCTCCCATATCTGCTTACTTTGTTAATAGCTCTAATGTAATCGACATTTTTTTGTGATTGAGCGATTATTTGCAGCTCCATTGTCGTTTCTATATTCGTATAATAGTCAAAACATTATATAGATACATAAAACTCATGAATCATTAATGTCATGTCAACTTAATTAACGATATCGTTCTACTTACCGTAGATTACGTCCGGAGATGACAATTTCAAATAAAGCGTGATATCAAATATAGGATTTCCGACTTCAGCATTTCAACTAAAGTATTAGCTTCGTATATTATAATGCTTACATATTGCTCTAAAAGCTCTTTATGGAAGATAGGAGTCAAAGGTTTCCTTCGAAAGTGCCATTTTTCTCCTGAGGAAAAAAAAAAGTCCTTCTCGTTATTCATTGCGTTTATATTTTATTATTACCCGTAATTCAGGCTCTGAGCGCATTTGACGGCATTGAAGAGTATTCTTAGCAGAAGCAAATCATTTCTAATTATTCAAATCTTTAAGCATTGAAATTTGAATCCTCAAGTCCATCGGTTGCGTATAGTCCATGATCTCTTGACGCACAACAAATTTGCAATATCTAGGCTAATGTCAATTAATAAACGAAAAAATAAAGAACCCAATCTTTCAAGTGTCGTATGTGCACTTTAATAATAACAGTAGGTCGAGATATGATACCACGCGTTCTTAATTAACCCAAAAGAAAATATATTTTTAATTAAGATGAATCAGAAATATTTTGTAGGCGCATCGTATAACTGAACCAAATGTACTTGTAATGAGACCAGTATCTAATGAAAGCTTAAAAACATCGCCATATTCTTTTACTCCATTCCCTCCCCCTCTCTTTCAAGAACTCTAAAAATATATATTCAGTTGTTATACTTTCAGTTAATTATTTAAAACTATCACACATGAAATTCCATAAGAAAATCAATCAACCCCAATCGAATACCGCACAGTCCACAAACACTATCAATGAAACATATCGAAATACAGGTTTAAACCAGCAAGACGATTATCAGTACCCTTGAGCTATTTACATAAATTACTGTTATCATCGACAATCCGTTACCCTTGCATTTGTGGCAAGTCATTATATTGCCTCTGAGCACAACCTTATTTTTAACCGACTTCAAAAAAGATACTTCAAACTTCCCAAGCAATAAATACTTAGAAATTTATAGTAGTTACTAGCTAAGTAGTTTGAAAAAGGAACTGTTTATATTGCAAAAAGTAGGAGAACTAGACGAGATTTGGATAATTCTGAATAATGCACAGATATAAAAAATGCGCATACATTGTAGAAGAATTTTTCCATGACGGCATTTTAATGTTAAACATATCTTAACTGCTGCTCGCTGGCAAATTAATTCCGTTCTCAGTTCCAGTTCGATTAATCCAGTTCTTAGTTTTCATTTCTGCGTCGAAGAACGTAGACATAATACTATTTATTCTCCATTTGACCTTACAAGTCAGCTTAATAATAATTAATCTACCAATCAATGCACACATATTCCGAAGTTATTACTTTCTAATGAATGCAAAAGTTTACGTCTTAAAAATAATTACGTCTAAATGTCTCGATGACTGACAATAATAATATACATAAACATTTTTCATACAGTCAATGAAATGTAATTTTTGTGTTAATGATCGAGTTGCCTTTAAACAGAAGCTGGAACTACTTTCTACCCAAATTATTCCACGATGACTCATTCTGGTCAAATGCATTGTAACTTTATATTATTTTGCAATTCAGCCATAAATGATATAAGGCAATAACTACTAGGTTAATTTACATTTACATTTATGACCGTAGATGTAGAAAAGTATAAAAAAATGAAAACAGTGAAGATCAACAATTGCACCACTCACTGAAGTGCAAGACTTCTTAAAAGAGACCGATACTGATCACTGCAGCAACAATTACTGATGAGTCGATGCTCTCGACAAGAATTGGCATGTAAAAATTTACAATCTGCTAAGCGACAAATATAGGGTAGCTCGTGTAGATATGGATCCGTGCAACAGCAGGCGTCATGCAACAATTTATCACCGCAATAAGGGTATACCGAGCTATCGCACAGGGGACATCCTTTTCTGAAACAGTTATACAAGTAATTAGGAAAGTAAAAATCTGATTGAAAAGTAATTTAAAAACCGGGAAATAAAATATTCGACGACAGTATCGTAAGAGCAATAAAATGCACCATTTAATCAAACGATAATACTGCTCACAAAAATTTGTTAAATGCAGAATACAGACTTATTTCGAATTACATACTTAATTTGGAACCCATCGGCCGCGTAATTCATGTTTTCAAGATTTCCATGTGATTGGTGCACGTCAATTTCCTTCGAATTCTCATTAACCCCTGATTGGTGGTGACCCGCTGCACTTTGTTGCACGCCCGGAAGATCACCATCTTTGTATCTCTCTACAAACAACGTATATTTATGCACTAACACCGTATCTCTCTGGCAAAGGAAATAAATAACTCCCAAACTTAAAGAGATTCTTTCCCAGAATATTCATAAACCTTCCTAGACTCAAAGGAAGAGAATTCTGAAAAGAGTCGACTGCTTTTGCATATTATTTATTTATCCCCTGCGCCGCGATGACCCGCCAAGCCTTGCTTAATTCCGTAAATCTACATTTCGGAGTTTCTCTGCGAAAAATATTATTATCATTTCCCGCAATTTCAAAGTCTCGCCGTTGGGAAATAAATTCACCTGTAAAAGTCATGAATATTACTGATATTAAGGAGAGAGTTTATTTCTAACGAAAGTTCTATATACGGTGAAGAATGTAGAGAAGGTAAAAATAGTGAGCCACGTGTGAACAGTTATACCACGTAATACCACATGAAACGTAACCTAACGTAGTGTAACGATCGGTACAGCAGTACTTACTCGTTATTTCAGAGCAGCAGGAGCCAACGACTAACCCAAGACACAACGAGAGGACCAAACGCATGTTTGATACGGAATAACGATCACTTTGTGGTTAAATTAACCCGAAACGATCTCAGCTTTAGGTTCCCTTAAATTAAACGTTTCGGAGCTCGCGCGACCTGGATTCTCGAATAAGACTCGCCTTAGGAAGATCTCGCGTCGATCGGCGAATCCGTTATGTTTAACTGGCGGAGGTTCTACCTCTTCTGGAATATCGAATACGGGTCGAGAACATAATATGAAGGTGTACGATCGACCATATCATCCGTAAAGGACCCTCTCTTCCCTGAAACCAGACTCTGTAACCAATGTGCGACAATTGCTAGAAAAAAATATATATATTTTAACCGGTCTCGTCGATTATCACATAAGTTTCACTGTAAACGGAACATCTCGTATAGTTTCAAATCTCACAGATTTATGTGTCTGGGAATATACCGAAGATTTTATACTGAGGACAAATAAGTAATTTACGTTGAATACCGAGTCGAGATCGTGGAATTGGTAACTCTGGTCGGTCTATTTGGTGGCCAAATTACTCAATTCTGGTGATTTTTTTTTTCTCTGTAAAGGACGTGATCGTCCACGGAGCGCGCATTACGCAACGACGCACACAATAGTTGCGTGCCGTTCTAAGCGTAATCACTGCCTGTCGTTACTTTTTACATGACCGTGTAAACCGCTCCTGAGATCCGATGAATAGGCTGTGATCGCATTTCGATTATCCATTATTTACTCAAGCGTCAAGGCCAAAGAGACTTTGCCTTTATGCGGACCAATTTGGTAGCCATGCCAACTGAAGTCGGTTTGAAAAAATAATTTATTACGCTTGAACTATACAAAATATTTGGTGCACACTTGAGACCATTAGGGAACCCTCTTAATCAGCCTAAGCACCACTAAGATCGGCAGAATGATCAACGGATTTATCCTGTTGATCGATGCATCGCTGGCGAGGTACTTCCCTGCAAGAGAGGAAACCAGATTAATAAAGTTACATGCATCATATCATTCTTAAATTACGAAATCTGATATACGCCAATTTGTCCCGTATTAAAGCATACACTGATAAAAATGCCCAAGTAAATTTACACACTCAATCATTGGTTATTTCGATGTCAAAATAAAATTGCAGTAAAATTACATTGCTTCTGTAGCATCACATTCAGCAATTCTAATTTTCTACATTTTACGTTCTTCCATGTAAACCTTCCTTTATGATGTATGCAAAAATGTATGTAAATCTCCATCGATTATTACCAGTGCAGTTCAATCCCGTTGCCCAATGAATTTTATAATTGGTTATAAGATTCGCCCAAGAATCTAATTGAATCTCAAACGACCTTTCGCTGATTTTTCTACGGAATTCTCGAGCGGTTTGTGGAAACAAACATTTTTCGGAAAACATTTGGGTTCCGCGTTTGCGGGAAGATAAATTGGAACGTCTCGGGGTCTGTGGAAGATCTGGCTCGTCTCGTTTGTGGCATATTTCTTATTCGGGCCGAAATTTTACTAACAGACAGATCCCAGGTACGCATGGCAGCAGCACTCCCGCAGTCTCGTGTATTCTGCGCAATCTCCAGCCAGGACTTTACAAGCTTCCGGTCCCACACGGCACGTGTGTTGCACGAACGGAAAGACCTCTGCAAAAGACATACACAATCAACCGATTACGCAGGCAATTTAATTCTACTCCTACAGATGCAAAAAAAAATCACCCCTCGGCTATAAATTCGCGGTAAAAAATATTCCGGTATAAATTAAACGCAATTCTTACCATGGCATACAATGAATCAATATCTAGGGAAATGAATAAACAGTTATCTTCATTTTAAACCATCACAATGAAGTATTGGAATACTTCTTACGATAGAGAAATAGTAAATAAGTAAAGAAAAAAAATAAATAAATAATAGCGTTGTATATTGAATTTGATGGCCGTGCAACGAAAGCCAATAAAACATGTTATCTCGTTTTATAGAGCGCGAATATTTGCAAAAAGATCAATTCAACCGTTGCCAGCGACGGATAACAGAAATGCAATTTAGTTTGCAATGGAGAAATGAATCAGAGGATCGATCGGTATTAGAGCTCTCGCATTCAGCGAGTGTACGAAGTGCGTGCAGCCACGCAGTTTTAATGCCACGAGTGTCGCATGTGCGTCACGTGCACCGGGTGTCTCAAAGAAGAACAGTTGCCATCCCTTTGACAGAAGATGTGGCAGAGAATTCAAGAATTCTCCAGGATAGAAACGAAGCGTTGGATTTATAAACGACCGATCCCTCGTCCGGGAAGAAAATGGAAATTGGCCGGTGATAAAGGACCTTTGTTGAAACGATCGAGACGTCCGGCGTGTCTAACCTGCCTTCCTCTATAAGAGTACACCACGTCCAGGTCGATGGACGATAACTCCTCGAAGAGTTCAGCTCGAAGCCCTGCAGCATACTTATGCGACGTCTTTTCTATTCGCTCGCCTCGTAAATCGTCGAATGCACCTCTTTCGAGCTTGCTTTCGAAGTTTCCTAACTACTTCACGGCCGATGTATATTTCATCCTGTCTACAATAATATATACAATTTTTCCCGTCCATAATTTTCGTTACCGCCTTTAACCGACTCTTATTTCCATGTTCAGTGTCGAAAAGCAGCAATTTCCGGGGTATTGTCTATGGTAGATTTAACGAGGTCTGACGTCTAAATTGTCGCGGTCCAGAAGGCTTATCTCGAGGGTAAGGAACCAGGAGACGTTTCCCGATCGCCCTAACCCATTGTCGGAGGAGAAACCCCGAGAAGAAAACATGAAAACACATACACAGCAAAGAAAACTGAGAAATACGTATATGAGAAACGGAATACGCGTGCCGGTTCCTTTCGCCCAATTGTGCGTATTCCGGTCTCGAGTGGCTCCATTGTACCGCATCAGCCTTTCTCCTTTTATCGAGAGCCCTACCTGGGGAACCTCGACATTTCAGGAATAATCATCTCCTCATCTTGAATAAGTTGTACCATGGTACCGATTTTTCTACCATTTACGCCTCGTTGCAAAATGAATTTTCAAAACCACGTCCCAAAGTCCTCGAGTTCCCCTTTCGACTATCCTTGGTCAGCGCGCGAACGATTGGCAAGAAGCGCTTTTCTCTTAAAAATGTCCCTGGCGGTTAACGCAATCCGTCCGATATTTCTCTGTTTTTCCTTTCCTTTCGCGGACAATGCTTCACGCACGAATTGCCATCTCGAGGTGTGTCGCTCTTTTTTTTCCGCCACGGGCCGCGACCGGCCAGGAAAAAACACTGGGTCGATGGAAAGCTCGACATTGTTCATTGGCAATCCATCGACGGTCCCTTCTTGACAAATGATACGGCGGAAAAATTACCCACCGTTGTATCCTCCGTCGCAGCAACAATGGTCGTTAAGAACACTGTCATCCTTGCAGTAGGCCATCTCGGATCCGGTGCACGCCTTACATCCAGGAATCGGCCCTGTGGAATTCGTTACATAAATTAATAAACGCCCGCGTTGCGTCGTTGATATTCATTTCGCTAAACCCTCAGCTGTTAGTTTGGAGAGAGAGCGAGCCCGTAACGAAAGTTCAGATCATGTTTCAAAGCAAAAGACTCGTGGTAGATGATGATAAACTCGGCCTGTCCATCCGCGAGGATGCGGCTCTCGTGCGTCTACGATTTCTGTTAATTATCGCATTTAAAGTTTACGCAATCGGCGGAAATATGACGGAGGAACTTCTGCACAGGCAGGGAAGGACGCGGACATTGCACGGAGGACCTTTCCATGAAACGGGAAAATTTAGCAAAAAAAGAACGGTATCTACATGTATTGACTCGTGTTTGATCCTGTATTATGATAATTACTTATAATAACATAATGTTAGATAATAAAGAAGAAACATTCAGGTTGAAGAATATTGGAAATGGGATTTGAGAATAATACACTTTTATTGTATTTAATTTAACAAAGACTTTATTCTTTCTATAACGCTCAGAGGACCCATCTTTACTTCTTCAATCACTCTAGCGAACTAACTACAAAAGGGCAACTGCTGATCTCGGTCAGCACCAGTGATGACTAAATTCTTTCTCTGGACCCTCTTTGTGGAGGTGCGACTCTGCGTCGCCTCTTAATCCAAACAACGGTTCTTATCGTTTCTGAAAACCCTCCACTAAACATGGGCCAGACTCTCTCTCTCTCTCTATACACATTAAACATAGATTGGTTTTTGTTTCATTTATAAACCTCAATCTTCAGGTTTATAATTCCAACAAAGAATGTTAATTAAATTCCCGTCTGAATTCTCGGAATTTTTTGGAGTAAGGTTATCGGATACATTTTCTACTTAATGTGGGTACAAATGAGAGTGGTTGCACATCACTGATGAAAAATAGAGTTCTAACAGCATTTTGGAGTTAAGTCGATATAGAACTATTTTAAGATGACGTTCTGATTTGCTTCCTGCGTGTCCATGAAATCCGCCCTGTGTACCGAGTAAGAGGGAATTTATCGCCGGTATCATTTGTTATTACAGACCGCCGTGCAGGGGGTATCTTGAGTTTGCACAGGCCCGTGACTACATTTATGGAGGAACAGAAGGGGTCTTTCACACGCCTTTGAACCTTCTAAGGAAACAAGACGGTTTTGAAATCCGCGCGTTGGGGCTCCTACCTTTTTCGTCCATGCCAGCTATCCAGAGACGTGACACAGAAAAATATTAAATCTAAGTTTTAATTTCACTTATAGCGTTCCACGTAACGACAATGGCATAAGAGTATCTACGTTAGCAAATGACAAGAGAAGTGACGAAAATGAAGCAAGAGCTATTGATTCGAGTTGAATTGAAATCAATCAATAACCACATAAGAGGAATTAAATCTCACCGGAAAAAAAAAAACAAAAAAAAATTAAAAACCTCTGCTTGTGACGCCACGAATTGCTTGAAATTAAGGAGAGAATTCAAAGCATACCTGGATAAAGTTTGAGCCTTTTCGCCTCGGCGATGGCATCTTCGTAAAGGACTTCGTGCTCCAGGATGTACTCGTCGTCGGGATGATGATCCACGACGGTGACGGTGTCGATACCCTGGAGGATCAGGAAGAAAAGTGTGATCCCTCTGGAGGCGGGGAAAATCATGCTAGCTACGCTCCTTTCATCTTTGTTAGCTCCTCGCCGACTCTCGACGACCCTAAATTCGCCCGTCCTGCAAAATCGATAGTTGCGATGTACGTGTATCAAGACAGTACAAGAGTACGTACAACCAGTGACAAGCAAGTACTCACACTGGCTTGCACGGACCCTAGTTTTCGTATCGATCCTGGGATTTCTTTTATTGCAGAATGTGATTCACCTCCCTTTTAGGGGAGTTTCTTCCATTAAATGGCCTCGATAGAACGTATCTTCAATGATATCGCATCGATACTAATTGCCACAATATTTGATACTTTTCACGTTTCCAAGAGCCGATTATAATACGGTTTTCATATTGCCGATAACATGTTCGACGAGGTACCACATTGTCTTACTGTATTATTGTGAAGTCAATGACCATTGTTCCGGTACATGTATACGAAGGAATATTTACCCTTGAATTGTCCTATTAAGGGAACTGCCTACTTCACCTGCAAAGCATTTGTACAAGAATTCCCGAAATGAATTCTCAACTCCTTCATTTTAGAGCCAAATAATGCCATTGCCTTTCTTAGGACCGTCATATTTATGTGGAAAAAAATTCAAACGATTCGGTATGTCCAATTCGAAGAAAAGTTCTGAAACCCGGACCCCTCAAACGATACTTTCGTATCACCTTAAGGCCAGTGCTATACCTATGGCTACTAGCATGCACGAACTGTAATTTTCATATTGATCCACGATTTGTTTTGTTCTAAGGGATGATTCATCCCCCTTTCGGACAAGCCCTATTCTCCTTCGATCGAATGGCCCTGACCACGCGAAGTGCCGACTTCGTATTCCAAGTAATGCCTCCGACGATACTACACCATGTTATTTTATATCTTCAATTATCGTGACTTTGCGCCATTTCAAAGAACGATTGAATCAAGATTCCCCGCGAGTAAGGGTTGGCCTTCGCCTTATGAAATACGGTTCTAATACACCTGATAACGTGCTATCTCGTTTCATTATACCGTCCCATTTCATTACACTCGACTTCTATGACCTCACTCATTATAACAGTGTAAGAAGGATATGTTATCCCACTCGGTACAAAACTCATGGATTTTCTTTCTTTGTTCCAGAAACGCTAACATTTAGTTCGAAGAAGCCCTATTAAAAGACATTGTTACCCTCATTAATAATAAAATCGATTCCTTAACACTCGATGGAAATAAAGTCATGTACATGAATTTCCGATTATCTGGAAATGGTTGGAGAATCTGAGAAAAAAGCACGTGGTCTTTCGAACGAGACCTGACCATTGACGCCTGAGTCAGGGATTAACGTCGGTGACCATTGTTAATTAAGCTCAATTAAGATACTCAGAAGAAGAGCAGTCTTCGCCGCTCCGGAATCGCATCGGCGGAATGTTAAGGGAGACACGAGGAACTACTTCGAGCGACTTCCTCTTCGCTATCTTCGGACTATTCCCCTATCGTGCTTCCTTTCGACAAACGAAAAGCCAAGACCCCGGAAAACCTGTCCCAAACCAGACATGCGAACTTAATTAAGGAACGGGTACTGTCTGGAATAATGCAAGCGTAGTTTATCCACTTTAGAAGTTACGTCACCGTCCTCTTTGCTGAAACCCACAACTTGAAGAGTTTCCATGGCCAGACGACGAAAGTTTAGAAAAATTCAGGAGTGTACGTGAAAAACTTCACCGAGGGTCTGAATCTTGAAACAAACACGGGCTTACAATTTAACGTACGTCTAAACCTTAGAAAATAATTCGTCAGCTGATATATTAAATACAGTACTTTCCATTTCATACTACCAAGTTAAAACATTACAACAATTCACGGCGGACGTTTAAAATTTAATTGCAAGTCTAAACGTTATTCAAGTTAAATTACAGAGATTAAATACAGTACTTTACATTTCAAATTACGAAGTTAAAACATTACAAAAAAAACGACGGACGTTTAAAATTTAATTGCAAGTCTAAACGTTATTGAAGTTAGGTTTCTTGACTAAACGCATTGGACATACGTCCACATTTTAAGCAGAACGCGATTCAGGACTTACTTATCTAAACTCAACCTCTGAACCTCTGGATATTAACGAACGGGGGAAAATTATCGTTGGTTTTATCATCGATTTTTTTGTTTTTATCTGTCTTGAGATGCCAAGACAGTCTGTATGCCCCTATTTCTGGAATACATGAATATACTTCTGGACCTTCGTTTCGGTAGACATTTAATTCCAATATTCCTTCGTACAAATGTAAATATTTACATTTCCTAGAAGTTATGAATGAAAGGTGTAACACGAGCTATGATCACGTTCACAATGAGTTCCGATCGATTACGAGCGTCTGTACTTCCTCGAAAATATATTTGGAAGACGTAGTACTTCAGGAAACGAATTGTCAATCCGTGTTATAAGGACCAGAAATGAGAAAAAAAAAGAAAACACCAAAATCCATCGACGCACGTGTTTATCTTAATTCCTCCGTTCATCCAAAAATATAACGACGCTTTACAGGACAATAATAAAACAACATACATCAAAACATCTCGCAAGAAGTGTTACTCCGAAATAATTAGTAATAAGATTATTTTTCATGTTCACTCTTACCGTGACTTTAATGTTAGATTGCATAGTTATCGACGATACACAAAGCGAGGAACACTTCAGTTTCGTCACTTGGCGAGTGTTTTCACCGAATTCTTGTTAATAGTTACATCGAATCAGGGTGATCCTTATTTTTGTTTTTTTTCTTCAATTATTCAGTCAAGATTCGACGCTTTTGCGACAAAGGTGGTCGCAAGTAGGCCATTGGACGAATCGAGCGACCGACGAAGACCGCGGGCTGAACCGAACTAAGCGTGCAGGGCTGAAAAGAGTATTAACATACACCAGGAAAGGCACCACCACCACTACCGTTCTCACTACTACCAATTACTCACTACAGGAGCAAGTCAACTCCCGCTCAACTTGAAAATTCGTTAATACAACCTACTTAAAACCTAACATTCGTATCCCTTTAGACAATTCGATATGAATATCGTGCATTTTTTCCACGATCTTTTTGTCATCTTAATTCTCATTCACTGTAGATATATTTAAAACATTTTCGATAAGATACATTCAATTTTGTTGATAGATTACCGAAAAGATTAAATATTTAACAGAGATTAGCGGTCTTCTGTGAAGTATAATTCGATAGTTTTTACGAAAACGAGGTATGTAGAGAAATTCATGGACTGATCGCGAAGTAAATGTGATATTAATATTTCTTTTTCAACTCCTCTCTTACTGTGTATTTTCACGCTTGGAGTTGGATCTTCTCATGAGAGTTGAATGGAGCATGCACTTAGGGTAATTGCAAGTAGCCGTAACAATAATGGTTGTAATAACGGTTCCGTTTTATGCCACTGGGATGTACCACGAAACCTGCAATAACGAGACAATACTCTACCGAATTATTGCAACTTAGAATTAATCATTACCAAACGTTACAATATCACCGCCAAAAGAATAACAGTGAACCGAACCCTTCACATCCTTTAGTCAAATATTAATATCCCCGATCTACAGAAAATTATAAAAAAAAAAAACGCGTTAAAATCAGTACTTCCGACATAAATTATCCCCTTCTATCCTTATTAATACCTCTTTAAAATCCATTATGAAGAGATTAAAGTATTACATTTCTCGGAATGTTCGCAGAACAACCTGTACTAAAATCGACGTTAAATTATCGCTTCGTTAAATCTAATAATTGATACCGGCTGGCTGAAACATCGGGTAGAAATACGTTATCTACGGTATGCGGTAATATTACCGGACAACGTTACGGCAATTGCAGGGACTATTCACGGGGAAATATGTGCACTAAAGGGGGCTTACACACCTTCGCCATTGAGCAGCTGGCACCCCGAGCACGACCGGTAGGTACGCAGTTACTTGCACGCACGTGTACGCGTACTCAAGTGTGTAAGCATAAACCCACTCTTGTGTGATTTTAGGTTGTACATAAGGGTCGCCATGTGAATACCGTATTCTTTATGCCCACGTGTATACCATTACAAGGAAGTAGTACATGTACGCTGCCGTACCTGTGACTGCTAAGAACGCATCGAAGACCTTGCGAGAAAGAGTCCAGTTACGTCCCTTATTGATCCTGCGAAGAAGGTACTCGTTTTATCATTCCAGGTTGTAGTATCCTCAGGACTACGATAATCTCCTGTCGATAGTCAGAAAAATGTCGCGTTGCTACGAAGTCGCGTCATTGGTCAATATTTAGAATTCGTATACAGGACTCCGCACGCGGAAATTCATCGTATGAACTTAATAATTGGGTCCCTGTAATATTGGAAGGAGAAAAAATTTTCTCCAGAGGGTTTCGTACGGAGATGATTTACAAGGACGTCGAAAATAGTCGAACCTGGAATAGAAATCGTTTTAGATCACCTCTAGTACCAGAATAGTGCAATTTTTCTATATGTAATAAGGATCATAACGAAGTATATTACTACGTACATTTCATTGGTATATAAATTCGGGAATTTTTCCAACTGATAAGGTAGGTGTATCTATAGACAAGCCCGGAAAAAATCGCATCTACGGGAGAAAGACCTGTCACTGTTTTCCGCAATTGCAGGAAAGTTAGAATTCCCAGACGTCGAACTGTCCTTATCGATCCTAAGGCTGGAGCCGCAACATAGACGCATTAAGTGCAGCAAACAAGATCCATTTTCTGGAGCACGATAAAAGGAACACATCCGGTTATACCCTCACACAAGAATGTACAAATCGCCCTACATTACTACGATAATTTCAATCGATTCTTTATTCGGAGCCTCAATACTCTTCCTTCGGAATAGTCTCATTGACATCTTTTTTCTTCCCCTTTTTTGATTCAGACATTTGCAGTTCTGCTTTACAATTGTAATGACAGAAAAATCACACGAACGTATGCTGCAACCCAATGGAACACTAGAATTGAGAGAAATTATGTGTTTGAATAGATCTACTTATATTAGGGTGATATTATTCATACGACTTTTTTTTTTCAACGGAGCCGCACGGATTCTTGCCCCAGCCTAGGAATCAGCTTCAGAGCCCATTTTAATATATAATATATAATATATAATGGAAAATGTTTCTCCGAATTTTTCCAGATTTCGCAATTCACATTCGGAATTTATTCCGGTGGCCGTGAGAACCCGCATCAGTGCCGGGTATTTGCATAGTGTGCCAATAAATGATATGCTATCCGCCATGTTCGGGGTCGGTCGTTCGATTAGGGAGTCGTCCGCGATGCGTGATGGCGCATCATCGAAGCTCCGCTCGTTGGATACAAACTGATGACATTTTATTCATGTCAGCCAGGGAGTGCCTTGCCTAGCCCTCGCACGCTCCAAATACTTTTTATCTCGACACACCCTGTACGTGGTCTCGATTGCGACCGCGAAGAAGGGTAAAACATCGACCCGTTCCCCCTTGCGAAGGGCGATTCCATCTTGAAGCCCTGCCCGTCCGTCCAGTTTTCGGAGCCCCGATCGATCTTCGACTTCTTTGCCACCTTGCCTGCAACAAAAATGTTACATAAAAATAATATATTTAAAACTCTTCCTTAATTTCCCGAACATTAAAACATTGGCGCGCGATTAAGGAGGTATTCTGATGTTTCGGTTAAATAAAATCGATGCCATTCTTATGCACTGAGGAAGAAAAAATTCATTTAGCCAAAGAAACATTCCTTTGAAGAGGATCAAAGGAATATTTTGTTAATTTAAAGGATAATTACTTGTCTCGAATAAATTGTCACAATTCTGAGGAAATAGGGCATTCGATTTATTGGAATTTATTTGAGCCAAAGGTTATTATGCGGTTAATATGCCGAACCGGATACCGCATATTTCTTCCAAATCCGGAAGTGGTTTAAGACGCCTTAAGAAGCTTGCGAGTATTAACGTGGGCGGCTGCTATGTGTTTCAGAACTTCCGCAGCTGTACCGTTCATTTTTAATTCAACTTGCGAATCTGGCATGCGGTCTCGTCAATATGTCGTCGAGTTATTAATACTTTTCCGGATATACTTCACTTTGCAGGTCTCTATCATCTCTAAATTACATCGAGACGCGGTTGTGTTTCAGACAAGTTCATGAGCCTCAACTGGGCGCTACGTCTTTAATGGGGATTTATTTTCCTCTTAAAAATAATATTAGAAGATGCTATGCACTTTTTATAATACTGACAGATTTATTAATTTTTTCATTTTCATTTCAGATCAACCCCATTATAATCAATAAAGGCATTCATGAGTTACGTTGTATTATATTTCCGCTACAGATTCAAATGTTTATCTGCCGGTAACGCAAATTTGTACTTGTCGGCGTATACAGAGAGCCCTGTCGGTACATTTGAAACTTCGTTCACCGATGAACTGCGTAAGTTGCCAACTGATTTATTTTATCAAGCACAGATGGCGTTGGCGTCGATAAACCGCCAGAAGCTTCATTGTGCCTCATCAAGGACGAACACTTTGATCAATCGGTGCATATGTATATACGTGACTACTCACTGTACGATGCTGGATGACTGTGTAGAAAGGTTTGGCCTGGAGAGAACGTCAGCACTGTAAATAGAAGTCTAGCAAGAGTGGTAGACGCAGGTCGTCTTCCCTTGCGCAGCGGTGCGGCACTCCGTAAATTGAGTTTGCTTGAGTTAAAACCACTCCTGAAATCAAAGCGTCCAATTGACCAACGGAATGTCATCCTCGCCAGTTTTGAACCCGGTAAGGGCAATTTGATATTACTAACTAAATTGATAATTCAAATTTTTTTTTTGACCTCATCCTCTCGCGTGAGGCTTAACGAAATACCGTTAGTCATGAGAGGAGAAGGTCATTAACGATTTTTCGATTAACCTTGACGCATTAAACGATAGATATTTCTCTTGATAGCTTATATCAGAGTTTAATTCAACCATTTTTATATTTCTTGAAAAATGCACATTACATCTAGTGACATATGGTTTATAACAAAAATTATAATAAAACTGGCAATTGTAATGCGTTTTGTATTATTTTATAACACTTAGTACAATTACCGTTTCTCTGCAATTCAATAAATTAGTAAGATGGAAAACTATAACGATATTGATGTATTTATTATTTATATAGGAAATCCCCTATGTGGGTGATGTGGAAGGTGGCTTGTTTCCTGGGAAAATGGTGAAGATTCAGGGAAAAGTTCCTCCGGAAGCTGTACGCTTTGCCATAAATTATCAACTAGGACCGAATTTGAATCCCAGAGACGATATAGCAATACACGTGTCCCCTCGTTTTCCTGAAGGATTTATTACTAGGAATCATATAGAGGGTATGAGCTGGGGACCGGAGGAAAATGAAGGGCCACTAATAATTCAACCGGGGCAACGATTTGAAATCATTATTTTATGTGAACAACATTGCTATAAAATTGCTGTAAATGGCAATCACTTTACGGAGTTCCGTCACCGATTACCCTTTCAAAAAGTTTCCCATTTAATTATCGATGGGGATGTTGAAGTGACTTCTATTTTCTATGAGATTATACCCGTTGGGCCACCTCGCAGTCCTCGAGATGCAACACCGGTGCCTGATGTACCACCTGTAAACATTGGTCCTCCTCGTTAGTATCTCCTTTTTATTTTTGAATGCAATTTTATACGATTGTAATTTTACTTTAGAATTCCTTCCATTTGTATACGTTTCACTGCAGCTCCTGGAGGCATTTATCCAACGATTAGTCCCCAAATTCCTCCTGGAGGTTATGGCCCACCACCTGATGCCTATGGTGGCTCTGGTGGCTATAATCCACCCCGAGCCTATGGTGCACAACCTGGTAGAGAAAAAGCCGAAGAAGAAGATGCATTCGGGGGATGCCTAGATAAAATGGGATTAGCATTAGGAGGCCTAGTAGCTGCCGGAGGAGTGGCTGCTGCTATGCATGTTATAAATGTACGTGAACTTTTTCCAATCGAGGCTATTAAAAGTAAACCCATAATAGTATCTCTTCTTTTCCATTTCCAGAAAAAAAAAGAGGAACAGGAAAAAGATCACGAGAAAACTGATGCATCAAAATCAGAGTCCGAAGGAGGTGGCTTAGGAGGATTGGGTGCACTTGGCGCCGCACTAGCTAGCAGCCTTGCTTCAAATGCTCTTCAAGGAGATAACAGATATCCACAATCGGGTTATCCTCAACAGGAATCTGGTGGAGGTGTATTAGGCTCTATCCTTGGTGCACTAGGTTTGTTTTATTAATATCTATTTTTGAAGTATAAACATTTATTTAGAGCACCATTACTGGCTTTCTGAGAAACATGTCTCAGTTTATGAGTGTGTAACGCCTTTGAGACACTGATCGGTATCGTGTCACTAGAATTAATAGCTGTAGACACTCAACCGTGTTAGTGCAGACATCTTGTGATGTCATCCTTTGGAATCTACGATTACCGTCAAGGTTGGGTCTCGAGCACGTTTAAGAGATTGCTTATTTTAGAATATTTGTAAATACACATCATTGCAGAAATGTACAATAACATGCTTATTACTTTAGGTGGTGGTGGAGCTCCGCAACAACCAGCTCATCCGCCACCCGCAGCAGATCCTCTTGGAGGAGCTCTGGGGTCTATTCTCGGCGGCGTTTTTGGAGGAGGAGGAAACAGTCAGCCTTCGTATCAACCATCTGGTGGTTATGGAGGATATCCACCACCAGGTGGTTACCAACCTTCCGGAGGCTACGCTCCCCAAACTGGAGGATCAGACTTTCTATCAGGAATTGGATCTGCCATTGGATCCTCGCTTCTGAGTTCGGCTTTAGATGGGCTTGGCAAACGTGGCAAGAACGTGAGTAAAACCAGAAAGTGAATAATCGCTTGCAAATTTTCTCCCACGACCATCGCCTGCTTCTGACTCTCGCTTTTAATCTTGATGAATGTGATAACGATGCTTTACATACTAAGACGCTGTTAATTGAAACATTTTAATTTCTAGTATTAACACTTTATCTGCTTTTATTTCTATGGCTTGTGTATATATATTTTTTTTTTAATAAAAGACTGGCATGAGACTGTTAATAACTATTTAGTTTTTCTCCCTCCTGGCTTTCCCGCCATCTGTTAACTTGTTGGCAAAAATCTTGTACGTTATTAATATGCGTCGTTACATGGTGTGTTACTCTACACAGAGTTCGGAAGATCATTCACCATCAAATTATGGATCACACAATGAACCAGAACCTTCACCACCACCTGCTCGTCGTCCTAGTCCTCCACCTTCGGGTGGAACTAAGTTATCTGCGGCTGAAATTTCAAAAGGCCTTGGTCTTGATGACGACGTTAACGATGACTAGGAGGTAGATGCAAAAATGTTAGTACAAGTTTAAAAAGAATTGTTCAAAGTCCAAGTGCTCTCTAGCTTGGTTATTGTATGTTTTAAGATAATATTTAATTTATTGAAAAGATCTAAATATCTATATACGTACATATATCTTGAAAATGACATTACGTTATGAAACATCGAAGCTACGAGTCATTAATTGAAAATGAAATTAGTATTCCCAAAGGAATCTCAATTTATTGGAGAGTTACGGATATTCGATAAGCTAAATTTAGAATATGCTTCCGTTCGATTACAATTGAAAGTTCTGTGGTAAATTACGTATTCGTATAATTGTTTTTCCGCAGTCCACAGACGATCGCATTTTTAAGTTCTCAATTCAAAAGCAATTTTATGTCACGAGTTGAACTGTACGAGTCCTGGAGGCTGGTAACATAGAGAGATATTTTTAAAATATTATATTGAATTAAGTTGCAGTAAACCCCTCGTTTTATATACATTATACTTTTATAAGCGTTTTAGTGGCCTTAAATGTTTACATGCCTTATACGCGCATAGCGCGCCAATACTGTTAATGTAACGACTATCGGAAAGCTTTGACAAGTATATTTAAATAAATTATCAATGTTAGTTGTAAAAACATTATCTTGTTTTCTACCCACTTCAGGGAATTAATTTTGGTCCAAAACTTCCATTGAGGAACTCGTTTCTAACACGATCATGTCCGTTTTCTGAAAAAAAAAAAAGTTGTGTAATAAAATTAAACACGACTTTTAATAGATTAATAGCACAAATATACGTACATCAGTTTCCGCCATCAATGCTTCAAGCTCCATTTTCTTTTTTCTACTGAAGAAGCCGTATTTTATCAATCCCAAAACTAAAAGAATGAGTAACACGATTCCAAGGAAAACTGACAAAACAATAACCCATAGAGCAACATGACCCTTAATCGGTGATCCAACGAATGTCGTTGCAACAAGGACATTATTATATTTGTCTCCCACAGTCTGAACCACGCGATCCGGATGTGTCATTTTAACACTGCCCATTGACACGTAATATATAATATCCTTCCCCTCCATGGCAGAAGCTATAACCAAAATTCAGATAATAAATAAAAGCTAATTTCTAAAATGAAATTTACCCGATAATCAACTTACGTTTCAAATTTGACAACTGCAAGTCTAACGTAACCAAAAGCTTGACAGTCGACAATGAACTTTCGAAGCTTCCTAAACTACAACTGATATTTGCACAAAGTACTGCTGGATTTGTACAGTTTATAAACAGCGTCCTGTTCTCCCTAGGAACGTTCAATAGCTGATTGTCCTTCTCGGAGTCATTAGACTTTCCTTCTTGTCCCTTGACCCCAGAGAAGTAATTCCTCATTTCATTCGATATACTGTATTGATTATTTCTAAATACTCCAGAAAGAAATTGTCCTTTAGGATCCGGATCAGCTGACTGATTAGTTACTGTGCAAAACAGGTGGCGGCCGTCCTTGTACCCAATTGTTTCATTGACATTTACGATCTGACGAGGCCGATTTTCATCCATTACATGTGTCGGCATTAGGACAGAGAGTACGCTTTCTTCGATGGGACTTACTCCGAGTTTCTGTACCTCATAAATGTGTTGAAACCTTATGCTTCTTAATCGCTCCTCCTCGTCTCTATGAAAATACGAGTACAAGTCTTCTTGCGCTTTCCTATAAAACGTGACAGAAGCTCATTACAAGAAACTAAGCTCTTAACTTGAATTCCCCCTATCCAAAACGTATGCCGATCCAACAGAACATTGTAACATGCAGTTTAACATTAAATTGTTAATGTCTTGGATCAGCCCTGCCATGTGACGGGACATGGTCGGAACCAATACGTGTCGGATAGTCCGATCTGACTTTTATCCGATATGACTTACCCAACTATTGCCAAGTTCACATCGACGTCAAAATAAATAGTCAACCGATCGATGTTATCGCCTGGAGTGATCTCCTCGCTTTGAGTAATAACCTTTGCAACAATTTGCAACTGCTCGTAGTCAGTCGGTACACCACTGGCATCCAGCTCCAAGACTGACGTCTTCTAAGAGTCGCGTTGTGCATTAACATACCAAATAAATTAATCATTAATATTCTGCGCGATAACACGCTTAGCTTTCGCGGAGAAATTAAGGGTTTTCTGAATTAACTTACGCTCGTTCTAAGCGGGTTGTCAATGTTACAAATTACTTCCAGTGAGCCGTTTCTGCGGCAACTTTCAGTGCATTCTGGCGGCAAACTCCCCAATGCCAGGGGCTCTGGTATATACAAAATCGCCCGAGTCTGATAAGCCGGTTCGGCTCTATTACGAACAGTGATATCCAATTTGATGGGAAATGTGGAGCCGATGACGAAGCGGTCACCACTCGGCAAATTGGTTGTAAGTTTTGCTTCCAAGTCTGTCATGCAAATGTCGTCGTTGCCGCAATCCACGGCAAAGGGCAACGATATGGCATCTTCTACTTTTGACAGGTCTTTGTTAACAACGGGGCAAGATGAACATCTCGATTTGTCTTCAAGTTCGTTGCTCAAATGCAAAGATACGAATATTTCGATCGGGTCGACGACATTCTGTATGGCCTCCTGAAATGTAATGTATTATCCAGAGAGATTTAATTGTTATGCGATAAAAGGTGTATTAAAAGACGGGATATGCAAAATACCGAAGAATTGTAACTTACGTTAATAAGGAGTTTCAACTGACTGCATAAGTTTGTTCCTCTCTCCACGATATCAGGAATCTTGAATATCCTGGCATCGGTTTTCTCCTTTCCATATCTCACCCTGCCATATGTTTCGTCGAGTTTTAAAATCCTCGTCAGGTCTGTAAATCATTGACATTAATTGCAGCATGTCCTTGTTTCATATTAAGTCCGATCTCTTGCGTGGCACTTTACAAATCGTACCATTAATATTAATGCTTATATGCTAAATTATATAAACTTACTTAACGTCTTGGGCACATTACTGCCGGCATAAAATGTGCACACGTCAATGAAAAAGTACGTCGAATTGGCCTGCAGCTTCAACTTCCCAGAGTACGTCACTTTAACAGTTAGGGTAACGACCGGTCTAGAGTAGAATAAAATAACATGTCCCGACAAATAAGCGCCCACGGCGAAATCCAGATATCCATTGCCGTCAATATCACGAGGCTCGGAAATGGAGATACCAAAACCGCGAATTCCTCCCAAGCCAGGGGAACCAGAGATTTTCTGGCTGTACCTTCGTGGCAATCCGTGCATTCCTCCATTAAAAATATACACAGCCCCGTGATCATTTTCATACGGTGCCCCAACAGCAATGTCCATATAATTATCACGGTCGATATCACCCAGACAAGTTACAGTTGTCCCGAACCTTCCTCTGGGGACTTCTCCGTCGAAACTTTGCATTTGAAAATTCTCCTGAAAGGTGGAGAGAATGATATTAAAAGAAGTGACAGAAGAGAGTTAAAGAAAAATCGTAGGGCCCGAGATATCATTTTCGCCGGCCCTTCTAGATAACTTACATCGGTCCTTCCCTTAAACAAGTACACGCGTCCTTCCTCTATTTCTTTTCCCCACGAAGGCGCTCCAACTATTAAATCATCTCTACCGTCATTGTTTAAATCACAGGTTGTCAAGGCCCCGCCAAAATATTCACCAAGTTCCTCGCCTTCTAAGATCCTCACAATGGATATCTTTTTACCGGACAACTGAGGTAACGAGAAAACGATTACTTTCCCTCGTAATTGCGCACCTCGGGGAGCTGCCGATGCGAACAAACGTTGACCGTCCTTGAAGTAATATCCCGACGTCTGAGAGTACCCTAGAAATGCGGAATATCAATGTCAGCAGTTTTTAATTCACCTCATACCGTAGATTAAGGTTTCATACACCTAAAAAATTCTTCGAGGGATTCTCGACGTTATGTAACCCAATACCTTATTACAAGACCGCATAAAAAGATTATTTTCGTTACTCGGTTCTCATACAATGCCTCTTCCTACGAATGTTATTTACAGCTGCGCCGACATGCGCCTTATTGCAAAAAGCCACTACGAAGCGTATCTTAATATTGCATCTATCCAAAATGAATTATATTTCCTCCGTTAAAATGAAGAGATAAACACTGACTGCGCTTAATTGTTTCGGGATTTCCGTTCACCATGTACCACCGAATTCACCTGGCATTAACATCAATCGATTGTTGTTATCATCAGAGACTGAAAACGTTCATCGACATTTTTTTTAAACTCAATCTTAAGCGTCCAATATTTCGTATTACCGTGACATAAAATGCATAATGCAGGATGAAATCTATTTTTGCCAAAGAGATATATAAATCGATCTCCTGTGCACTTTCTTAAACACCATGTATAAATTAATTAAAAAATGAATTATAACGGATAACTGGGATTTATAAGATATTGAGCTTCCTTCACTTGAAAGCATTCTCACCGAAGTACTCGTTCCCTTGGAGCATATACTCGTCGCTTATGTAAGGAATAATTCTTTCGTATCCCGAAGTTGTCTCTTTAAACAATATAGGTACGCCTTTCCAATTGAAAACACCTGGGCTACCTGCCAGAATATTGAAACGGGGTTTATCGTAAAACGTGTGTAGTGAAAATCCCATTTCGCTCATGCCGAAGTTGTAGATTCTTGCGTAACTTAAATCGGCAGTCTGTTGGGCGACTTCCGAGCTTGAGAAGAGTAAATTAGTGGCTTCCATCTCGAATGATTTGTTACTATTTATAGTTGTCCAGTAACAAAGACCATTCATGTACGAAACCTGTCTTCCATTCGGGAACGTATTTTTCCAACGTGGTGCGCAGACCTGGATAAATATTTTTGTTTTTTTAGAACGTGTGAATAACTTCTTATCAAGCCTTGTTCACTTTTAAAAGATTTCCCCTTTTCTCTTCCTTGATATTAATTAATTAATCGAACGGTGAATAAATTATACGCATCGTGCTAGCGTATTAGTTTATTACGGCCGACAATGAGTGAAAATTACTTTTTAATAAACCGTGACACCACTTCATATAGTAACACGACAATTTGAATGACCTTTTATTCTATTATCACTCGTTATGATTTTCTGACCCAATAGATAAGTGGATAGAAAATCGTAGGATTTAAAAAGAATTCGTCATATCGTCTCGTTAACGGTGTCGTAAAAACAATGCTAATAAATTTCGGAAAGAATTGTATAACATCTAAGGCGAATTCAACGTCGAAATTTGTAACACAGTGTCAAGAAAAAATGATTTATTGAAGTCAGGGTGTACCTAAAGTGGTACCGATACGGTGTTAGACTGCTCTTTGCAGCGGATTCATCCGACTACTTTCTCCACGTATTCGAAAAATGTACCTCAACGAAGCAATCACTTATATTTTAGAGTAATATGCTGGAAGTATCGTTCCATTAAATATCAATCGTTCGGCTTTAGATATACTTCACTCTTCGTAACTCGAATTAAAGTAATAATGAAACCAAGAGAGTAATTACGGGAATTCTACTAATTGCATACAAGTGTATTGTCCTAACAGCATTACTCATATCAGAAACAATCGATAACGTCCCGGTGTCGTTTGACATTAATTCATCCTAGAATTTATACAATTTCTTTCACCTGCCATCTTATTCCCGCAATACAATCATTAAATGTCCCTTGCCCGTTGCATTTGTATGCAATTAGTAACGCTGCTTAATTATGAATTTTATGAATTAGACGAATTAAACCTACTTAAGGATAAAAATACAGGAAAGGGGAATTAAGTAATGTTCGAGGAAATAATGACTATACTTTAAACAGACCACAACTTTAGGTTTTGAGCCGTTTTGTATCGCAATCGTCGCGCCCGTCCAGGCATTATCCTTCTCCTGTATGACATGATTGTAACGAGGTCGTCTGCCGTTTTTAGTATTGTCTAAAAACCACTCCTTACACTCACTTCCTATTTCTACAGGGCACTTAAACACAATTCCCGGCTCTTTGACAGAACTTTGTTGACTGTTATTCGCCCGCGGTGCTCCGACAAGAACCAGCGAAATCCTAGAGCCTGAAGACTCTTCTGTATAAAGGGCTACGGAATAACCGAAGTAACTTCCCCTGGATCTTTCACCTCTAGCAGGGTCATCGAACAGTTTAACATTGTCCGTATCAATATTATAAGCGAGTGCACAATTTGCCAGCATTAAAAGTATTAAACGCCACATTTTTTCTGAACTACTGCGAGTGAAAAAGTTACACGGGATTCCCTTTTACACAAAACCAAACGTGTCAATAAATACACAGTACTTATTAACGTTATAAACTAAACGTGTTAATAAGTTTACATTAACGAGTACGGTAACTGTTAAGTGCTCGACGAGTTGCACCGACAGTTACGAGGTTTACAGACAGGACATTGTATTCCACTGTGGAAAAATGTATGATAAAATGGTGAATCGACAAGGTAAGATCGCAAACTGCAAAGGCTCAGCGAATAGAATGAGTGACTGTACGATCCAACAGGAAGGAAGTGGTACCAAGAAACCACAATACCACCATTTCGCAGGAATACTCATTGTGCAACAATTTTGATAATTCTTTCGATAAGCCTTGACAGATAGGCGGTGAAAGCATCTACAACGGAACAGAAAATAGATCTTGCTCGCTTAAATTAGTTTTATATATTTGTAATGAATGGATTAAGGAATAATGTACAAATTCAAAAGTAACGCAGTAGTATCTTGCAAGCAATTTTGTTAAGATCATAACACACGATAGGAAATGTTTATACGAATTTACCACTTTGTTTTATTTCTTTCCATTATCACACTCAAATCGTTGAAGCATTACACATTAGCCTTATTAGTGTCGCACTCGTTTGTCTTTACTCTAGTGCTGCGTCACTGAGAATTTCAAGATGCGAACGCACAATGGACGCTTTCAAAAATATCTGACGTGTAATTGAAAGGGTATCAATAATTGTAACGAACCCTCTTGGGCTTTACTTCCTGCGAGCCTCCACTTCCTGATTAATACACAGACGATAAAACTTTCCACAAAAGTCACTGACACATTATTCGCTTATTTGTTGTCACTGAAATCGTCGCTAATATGGCGACACCCTTGTATGCACGAGGCTGATTTAGGAGGGAATAACGAAAGAAAGACGACACGACATTCATACAAATAACCAACACATTGTTATAACAGCGGTAAATAATAGAAAGTATACTGCCATGTATGCAGAGAGGATCAAACTTAGTATTATAAAAATATATTTCAAGGAATCACAGATCCATTATGTACAAAAGGGACGACTGGATTCATCGGGACATATGTCAGAGATTTTTCTAGTCGGAAGAGTCGGTGGTAGACAAGGTTTGCGATAGAGGTGTCGATCGATTACGATAGCCCCTGCGTGCTACGTCCACTTTTTTCCTAAAGCACTCAAGGTTTTTCACTTTCTGTTCATGATCGGAAGTTTCAGCTCCGTTACGTGCTTTCTGCATAGCACCACTAAACTTCTCACTAGTTGATACGCCCGATGTAATACCACTGTCAGGGGTCAAAAGAGCACGGCACCATTCTTTTAAAGGTGTCACCGATGAGCTATCGCCAACAACCTTTTCCGAACTGGTACCATTCACGTACACCTTCCCCGAAGACACATCCCGAGGAGTTTCTCCATCCGTGTCGTCTTCTACCTTCAGTCGTTTGCTTTTGCTCTTCCCGCTGTCGCATTTAGAATTCTTATACTTTCTCCGTTTTCGTCTATGCCCTTTGCTGGAACTGTCAAAATCGGTCTTGGCACGCTTCTGTTGCCTACTGTTACCACCATTTTCATCGGTACTACTGCTACTGTTGCTAGAATTTCTTGTATCGCTCTCGATAGGATTCGCTGCATAGCGCGATCTTCGAGACACCAACCCAGAACTCGTACTCGGCTGTGTTTCGTCAATTGGTTGTTCGTCGCTGTCCGAATCGGTGTTGCTCTTCGCTATCATATACTTCCTACGCGCTCTACTCCTTTCGGAACTCTTGTCGTGTTTTCTCTTGACTCCTTTAGGTTTGGTTTTCGACTTAGATTTATGTTTACCACGAGCATTCTCGCCTTCACTTTCTGAGCTTGAGGTGAATAATTCAGGAACGGTATTGGCAGATGCATTTGGATTCGCACCGCTCTCCATGGCTGCCAGTCGCATTAACTTTTTCCTCCGATTGGCTATCAGTCGAGTGATTCGATTGGGTGATTCCGAAGGTCTTTGTGGTGCTACACCTCCAGAAGTACCTCGAGAGCTCACCGCAGAACCCAAGAAGCTCAACATCAGTTGGCGATCAGATGCTGTTGAATCTACAAGATAAATCAAAATATTAAAACATCAGTGGGGAATGAAAACTATTATTACGGACTGTTATGATTTACCGTCAGAATCCGTCGCACTGTACACACCCCCTGTTGCAGGATTGTTTTCCGAATCACTGGGTGTCTGCGGTGCTGTGGGCATATCTTCAGAGCTCCATCCTTCGATCTCACGTTGTATGAGGGAGTCAAAAAATGCCATCATTCGTGGATCCTCTCTTGTCGACTGGTGACTGTAATCATGAGTCATGAACTGACCACTACGCAAAACAAGGGTAATGTAGTCATCGTGCGTGAATACACGGCGTTGTTTCTCTTGTTTTCCAGCATCTCGCTAAAAAATAAATTCACATGTTATATAATCAATAACATTGTCTAACCACTGAAATAAAAAAAAAAAGGAAAACCGTGCTTAACACGGAATAAACCTTTTACGTTCGTGTTATAAGAATATAATAGAATTACGTTAACCTAATTTTAACACACCTTCAAACCACCCAAACAACTAGATCCAAGTGGAAACGGACTCCAAATCTTGATGATTTTTTCAACTCCGGACGAAGCGAGAATACAACTAGCTTCGTTAAAGCGTACTTGATTGACTATGGATCTGTGGCCTCGAAGAATCATGTGTGCAGAATCCACCCATGAGGTGTCATCAGTTGGGATTTTCCACATGTACAGATTAAAGTCATCGGAACCTAATCAACAGATAATGATAAATCGAATACTGTGGGTACATTATATAATTTTTCTTTTTTCTATTGCCAATGTTGTATACTAACCGGACAGGACATACTTGTCATCACCAGCAAAACAACAAGTTTTCATGGTACAACTATTATAATATCCAGGATGGTCGAACTGACAAAGATGTGTTGCAGATTCTGTGCTGTATAGTACAGGAGGTAACCTTCTTCTCAATGCCAACAGTCTATTGCCTGCTGCATTGTAACGAACGTTCATGCAGCTTTGGGAAGGACCTTCGGTTCCGTAACGAAGTACGGGTCTAAGAAATAATTAATTCAACATAGAATACATAATTAACTACACAACGGAATAAGTTATGCTTAAATTCCAAAAAATAAATGTTTGTTATATTAATCACGTTACATTTGTTATCCAGAAAATTAAAGCAAAATATAATATCTTTCACTAAAAGGCAATAACTTACTCCAGTGGCTTTCGAACGTCCCACATGCTGACTCCTTCCTTTGCATTGGCAGTAGCGAGCATTCTAGGTTCCACAGGACTAAACATTACCGATTGGAAGGCTGTCTTATATTGTGCCAGACAAAATGTCTCCGTCGTACTGGACCCTCTTATGTCATAGATGAGAACTCTTCCATCGTCACAAGCACTCGCAAAAACATTATCATTGGTAGGATGAATAGATAATCCATAAACTGGCTTTTCATGCAGAAAGTAATCTAATGGGTCACCACTGAAACCGAGAATACAGATATTGAATACGACCTTTTAATCCCTGTAAATAATCTATTATTCAATGAAATATTTTATTACGTTCGGAGATCATGAACGATCACTTGATCGTCATTGCCAGCAGAAAATATTTTGGTCTTGCTGCTATCATAACCCAAGCAAAATATATTGCTGACATGTTGAGCCTTCATAACGGCAGGCTTGCCCGTTCCCTGTATAGCCGATTCCACCTTCCATAGCAATACTCGTCTGTCGTCTCCTCCTGTAAACATTAATAAACAATATTATCAATCGTTTCATTTACAATTTGACATAATCCACTCCCTTCCAAGGTCCCAGGTTTATTTTTACTTTGAAAGGGTACAAACGTAATATCATAAAAAGATTTATGCCATATTTTATTTAATTTCGACCGCATCGCATCATTTTGAACTAATTCACCAAGTAGAATTCTTCTTTCGATAAGATACAGAAACACATTCTTCGAAGCTTAAAACAAGAAAACTTTCGTACTCTCTAATAGCCGAGCTTTCTCCATCGCTTCTCACGTCCCAACTCCATCCCTCTGCTTATAGCATATAATTTCTAATTCGTAAGAAATACCTGAAAAAAGCCCATCGCAAGAAATTTCCCTTGGAAAGCCCCGTTACTCCATTTTTCTTGATATCCCCGTGATAAATGACATGGGAGGCACAAATCGGCCATCGGCACAAAAGAAAGCCACAACGGTCGAAACTTCGAAAATTCTCAGCATCCACATATTCATCCCCTCAATCTCGAAAGCTCGATCCAACATCAGAATTACGCAGCACAACGAGGGGAAAAAAAGAAGCATACGCGACACGCTTTCTCACCTGATACGAGGAGATCCCCCTGGTTGGAGAATTCGATCGCGTTGACGCACCCGTAATGAGACAGGAGATCCTTCCTGAAGAGATTCTCGGACCTCTCGAGCCTGGCGCTGATCAGGCGTTTGCAGTGGTCGACCCTGTCGTCGATCTGTCTGTCGATGACATAAGGCAGGGGGTTGCAGGCCGAGGGGCGAGCCATCTTCGCGGTCGGACGAACCTCGCGACTTCCTCTCAGCTCGCCTTCACCTGTCCTCCCTTTCTTCCATGTAGCCCGGTGGCTCGGCCGGCTCGACTCTCCTCCGAATTGGCCGCGACCGCCAGCGAGAACGAACCCCCGAGGAATATCCTGTCAGGACGCGTTTCGTTTCCCTCGCGCTGCTCCCGTCCTCCAGCCGTGCGCCCGCCCCGCTTACCTCGCTCGTGACAGCCGAGCACGGTCGACGCGTGCCAGTCCTCGGTCCCTCACGAGAGAGCTCGCGAGTCGCACGACCCACGGAAACGCAGTGCACGCGCCAGTGCGCGCAGCGCACGCAAGAACGCCACGGCGAACTACGAGTACGAGCCTGCCCGATCAGCTGATCGGCCCCCGCAGCCTCGCGGACGAATCCTTACCTCGCGACGCGCCGCTGTCGAAACGGTCGAAACCTCCTCGAGCCGACAAGTACCCACCCCGGTTCCCCGGCGTGTCGCCAACGCGTCCTCCCTCGTCGGCGGCATAAGGCTGCTGCATGCGACCGTTCTCGGAATTCTTCCAACGGGCTCAACCGAATCCCGGAGACAGTTTTCTTGGCCAGCCCGAAAAGACCGGTGCTTGAATTTCGACACGAGACGCAACACCAGCGGTGGCGTCGCCATGCGGACGAAGCATGTACTGCTTACGGGGAAGCCTGGTGAGTGCTAACTCCGCCGTCGATAAAACAGGAAACCCTAACTCGGAGTTTGATAGGGTTGAGTAATTTCGCGTTTTTCGATCGATCATGAGATCCAGTCGTTAGATCTCCAGTTTTTGAAAATAATCAAATGATCCTAATTACTATGAACTTCGTGTTTTACAGAAAATCTGGATAATGAGATCGTTTTGTTTCAGGAATTGGGAAAAGTACGATATGCAAAAAAGTTGCATCCATGCTTAATTCAAAAAATTATAAGGTCGAAGGATTTTATACGGAAGAAGTACGACGTACGGGCCAAGGTCGCGTTGGTTTTGACGTAGTGCCGATTAGCGATGCAGATAATAGATCTCCTCTAGCACGTGTGACGTTGGTTTTCTATTTTTCACGTCGTATTAACAAATCTGTAATTATATACACCGTTCATTTTTATTTTCGTTTGATTAAAACAGGCACGTTTTACAACCACACCAGTATACGAGTCACCGTATCGGTAACTACAACGTCTTCGTCGATGACTTTGAACGTGTTGCATTACCGTTACTTGATTCAAATTCTGTGAGTGAATGTTAAACTATTATTCAAAGTATAATTTGATCTTTGAATTTTTCTAAACATATTTTTTTTTAAATTTACGTAGGATGTACTGGTGATAGATGAAATCGGGAAGATGGAAATGTTTAGTATGAAATTTTACGAAGCGGTATCCAATATATTCCTTAAGGAGGATTCAAAGAAGATATGTGTTCTCGCATGTATACCCATCACAAATAATGTTTCACCGCGCTTCTTAACATTGTTACGTGAATTACGTGGACACGGTGCTTGTAAGCTCTTTGAAGTGAGTTACGAAAACCGTGATCAGTTGCCTCAAGAAATCGTTGAGCTAATTTCTGAAATTGTAGGTGACAACTAACATAACTGAAAGAAAATAAAGTGACTATAGAATATTACCTTCGATGCATCCTACCGTGACATTAAATTTAAATCAAATGCTTTTCATCTCGACTACTGTTACTGTTGACTATAAACACTAATCTTATAAATTATAGCAGAAAATGTAAAGAATAAGCACATTATAAACATGATTTATTATTAACAAAAAACAAAATTTTATATCAGAGTAACCCCATCGATCACAATAGATTTGTAGAAAAGTAGTTACAAATAACGTGACAACTAGTGACTGATGGGGACATTGTACTACATATTCATACTATATCGCATACGTTTAGATTTATACAATAATCATAGTTCCTGCGCTGAAACGTTATCGTTCATTCTAGACGTGTGTAGGTACTCACGGCTTTAATGCGTAGCATTAACGCCGAAATAGAGCTACCTCCTACATGTAATAATGTTTTTGAGATCACTTGCCAGGTTTGTGCGCGAACGCCGATGTCCATAGTGAGCAATGGGGCCCAATCGAGGGTACAAAATAGAAACGTTCCGTCCCGTAAAATACATACGGACGGAACATCGGGTTGTATGTATGTACAGGCGTGTATATCCTTGGTCCAACTCAAGCTCTCCAGAAAGCAAACGAAGGTGTAAATCATCTTTGTACCCATTAATATTACGTTTTTGTTACAGTATTATGATACAGGTATTATGATAATCTGTCTTGTACCTAGCAAGAATACAGTAGTCGTTATTGCAGAGGAGCATAAAAATCGTCTTACCTTTTTCGAGTCAGTATCAAATATATTACGCACACTTTGATTGGGCTACTCGTGTTGAATTAATATTATTCATTTATTTGTCAATAATATACTAATCTGCTTCACTAGCACATTAACTTTAGTAGAGAATTAGCATACACCATTGGCTTAACATCCGGATGAGGCTGAAAACATAATTTAGCATTTTTTTAACATGGAATGTTTTTCTTAATAATTGTCAAGTTTTGTTGAAATTTAAATGTCAACTTACCACCGCTTCGTATGACATAATATAAGGATACATGTCTTTGCCATTAAGGGTGATAAAGGCACCTCGATTACCCATAGTATCACTGTTTACAGAAATAAGAAATTAATTAAAAAATTTTCTATCAAATATTTTTTATAAGTACCGCTAATATTTACCAATAGTTTGGAGCCGAGAAAACTGTGATACATTTTCCATTGTGTCCAATTTCGTATCCCTCGTTCTTAACCTCGTGACTTCTGACAATGTAATCGAGTCCATTTAATGTAAGGAACTTCTGTGTTACGTCTGGTCCAAATTGAACTCCTACTCCCCGTTTACTAGGTGCTCTTCCTGGTTGGGGTTGGGGATCGGACCATAATAATTCACACATTAACCCATCCTCGGGTGGTTGCCTATTCCTATCGATTTCTCGAATTTCTTGCAACGTGACATCATCCCTTGAGAATAGTCCTCCATGCATTACCTGTAAACAATATTTGTTAAAGATAAAGGTAAAATACTCAGAAGTATGTTTAGAATTAAAACAATATTTCAACACATACAAGTACTCGACCATTGAGGCAGTGGGCAAGTGGCAACCAATTATATACCTCTGTAAATAACTCAGCCATACGTGCGGTATACTTTGCTTTAACTTCGCCTTCAAAACCATACATCTGATTCATGGTTACAGATTCATGATTACCTAGCAATAGAAATGCAAATAACTAATATGTTTTCAGTTACTAATGACTACATGTTTCTTACCTCTAGACATAAAGAAGTGATTAGGGTATAATAATTTAAAACCGAATAAAACAAATATACACTCCACTGAAAACGAACCCCTATCCACAAAATCTCCGTTAAATAGCTGTGGTTTTGTTAAGAAAAATATTAAATATAAAACTGGAACATCTTTGTAACGATTGCTCAAATAATTAAGACCTTGGTAATGGTCTAATTTGTCCCTTAGTGAAGGATAGAACTAAATTTAATTTTTGTTAGAAAAGGATACATAAGGATTGGTTTCTGATGGTAAAGCATTTAATTCAAATATATTGAGCAGGTCATAATACTGGCCATGTATATCCCCACAAATTGTAAATTTACTATTTTCAGGAATGGTAATATCAACTAAACTTGGTTGCGTCATAAACAAAGCTTTGACATCAAGGAGAATTTTATACGCATATTTGCGATGCAATTTGTTCTGCTTTCTGTACCACTCTATCAATTCTTTCATAAATTCTACAGTAACTTTTCCATCATCTAGCTTTGGGCCTACATATTCATCCTCAATTGCTGGAAGTTAGAAAAGTGTTATATGAGACATTTATATAATAAAGGTGATCTTAAATAAACAACATATTAAAAATTGCTAAAACTGCTTACGATCATAATACTCACTCATTGCATCTAAATTAATCATATCAGCTATGTTTTTTTTGTTGTCTTCTACTGCAATAGCTTTCTCAAAAGCTAATTTCTTAACGATCTTACTACACTCACTGTATTTAGCTTTGGCATCCTTATCGTTTGGCCTAGCTTTTGTAACCGTCTCGTAATCCTTCAGAGCGAGCTTAAATTTACCAAGGGACATGTAAGCTGCCGCTCTGCGGTAATATCCCTTTAAATAATTTTTATCTACTTCAATGGCCTTAGACGCATCCGTAAGTGCGTAGCCAAAATACTCTGTCCTAAGGTAAGCGAAACTCCTATTTGCATGGTAGACAGCCACCGAAGGATTTAAATCTATGGCCATGGTATATAATTCAATAGCTTTTTCGTAGTCTTGATCTGACAAATAACAAGAATGATAGTTTATAAAGCACGGACATAATATAATATGGACTCAGTGCTAGATACATAAGTCTAACGCATTGATATCTCGATAATAACTTTTTATGACAACAGATTTGGGAACATTTATATTTGTTACGAAAATAGAAGAAATAGAAAGGAAGATGCTAGACCTGAAATAAATACTCATTGACAACGTCGAGAAAACGTCTTTAAATAAATGTAAACAGTCTCTAACATCTACTGGAAAGCCAGCAACGTGAAAATGGGGAAAATATAGTTGGGTTAGCTCACGATGCACGTGACCCAACCGCGACAGTAATCGATGAGGCTTGAAAGCGTTGAACCTCACCGAATGTTGACACGCAAAACGACCGAGTTTTCCCAATTATCATTATTTTACGTACTTTTGAAACATTCGTTCGCTTCTTCTTTGAATTTCTCTGCTCTCGTCGCATTATCCTCGGGGTAACCGACTCCGGCTATCTCCATATTCGTGCTCATCCTGAGACGGCAACTTAACGGCTCGATAGTGAGTTATTACTTAAATTACACGAAAACGTAGAGAATAAGTCAGGCATTAAAGAAAAAAACTATTTCTCATTGATAGACTCATTAGCGGCCGCTAGGAACGACGTGAACCCCAACTCAACTGAACTTAACTGCGTGAAGGCTGAAGCGAGATTTTCGAGATCGATCTCGAGTTCTCTCGAAGTCTGCAGTGACGCATTCGATTTTAAGCTGCTTGCAGACCTCAATGGCGGCATATTTAAATAACGGTAATGATTAATAATTCCGATAAATATGAATTTGAAGACAATAATCCATTTATTTTAATAGCAACTCACAATTCGTTACTTTATACTGTTTAATGAGGGAAAAAATGATGCTTGAAAATCTAAATGATGACGTTAACCATAAACGGTATAACTGGTAACTTTACATAAATTCTGTTTTATTACCTATAAACTTTATATTGTGAATGTACATAATAGATAAATATGTAGAACATATTGCAATGGACATTTGATAGCCACATGGAATAATGATTACAGTAAGAATTGCAAACTTATGTTACCTACTGAGCCTTCGGTTTAGCTGATTTGACCTTTTTAAGTTTTTTAAGGCCGTTTATATTGGTTTTCAATAAACCCCAATAAGCCTGTTGAAATTTATTCACATCCTTGGAATGAATCTGCAAAAAGTTGATTTAAAAAGTACAGTTCATAATTAAATACTTGTTTCTACCACTTGATACCAGAGCCGTAGTTCTACTTAATATTGAATTGATATGCAAAATTGTACGTGTACTTACAATTGTGGAAATTTTCCTTGAACGCAATGAAGCACGAACTAAACATAGGTACTCGGTTGGCGTTGGCAAAGGTGGTCTACCTTTGCGTGGTTCAGGCTTGTTGAATCCATTAACTGGAATTCAAATGTACTGCTTAAACTTCTTTAAACACCAGATACTTCAACATATAAAACAAAATACTTACACCTCTTAATTGTAAGCGATACAGCTCCAGAAAGTCGAGATTTATCGAACAATCTCATTAACTCTACCAAGAACTGTAACAAAAATTTAATTAAATACCTTAAACTACCCATAAATTAGAGAATAAGAATTTTTACCGCATCGTTTTCGAGCAGAACCATCCCGACAGTAGCATATGCTTCGCACGTCAAGTTTTTTGAAGGTTAGGTTGGTACAGTTACCTTTAACGGACTCTAGATAATAAAATTATGTAAAACTCAAGGACTTCGCGCTAATGAATGAGTAATTTTACTTTGTCACACGGGTAGTTTCGATTTAGTGGAGAAATCGGACGCAAAATGGAAAAGCATATGTTACATAGTAGTAAATAAATTCAACGCAAATCTATCACGAAGTACTTTCCATGGCCGTCTGGCGCAGCTGTCAATAGAGATTGGACGCGAGTGAAATCCTGTGACATCTCAACGAAAGATAAATGGAAAACATGGAGAATTCCGGTGTAAACATTAAGATATTTAGGAACAATAATTGCCTCTATGAAGAAACCTTAAAGGACAGAGATGGGTTGCGGATGAAAAGGCTAATCGAAGATTTGAAAGATATACAGCAGAAGAGCAATGCTTTTTTGACCACTTTAGTCGAAGCCGAGCGCAATGACACGGTCAGCACGCGAGGTAAGCACGTGTCCCCTACTGTTGTCTCATTCACCTCTTGTTTTATACGTCCAAACGGCAATTTATGTTGTTCATATTTATGGATTTTAGAACTAGAAGACAGTTCGGAAAGCGACTCGGACTTAGTCGACTTCGAGGAAGAGCAGATTAACCCCAAGAAGTGTAAAATGGCTCAATGATTACTTGTTATCTAGTAATAAACGGAAATGCATTAATCACTTCATCAAATTTATTAATGATGTCCGTGTATTTTCTATAAATTCTAAGTACCTCAATTGCGGATACGAAGATATTCAAAGATATTCGTAATAAGCAGTAATAAGGACGTATCCCAGACTGACAGTCCTTAGAAATTGAAGAACGAGGGATTTTTTTCAACCGCTGCTCGCCAGTGGTTGCACGTGTACAAGTGGCGAGGATATGAGAAGGAAAGAACTATTGCCCTCGTCGTTTAAAATACGTAAGAGCGAGTAAGAAGCAAAATTGAGATGCAAGCGCCACATGGTACCTGGGTCAGTAAGCTCTACGTCACTAGTTCCTTAGACGATAGATATAGTCTAAGGCTAGTTGAAGCATCATGGGGGCGCGAGATCTCTGCGACCAACATGAAGTTGGCTGCTAGCAGTCCATACTTATGTAGTCAGACACACGTATGTCATTATATGTGAACACATTCATCGGTATACGAACGGTCAACCTGACTGCACGAGTACCGTAATTAAAAAGACAATTGAGATCAGATACACTACCCACGTTCGCACTGGTAAATAAATCTTCTTAAAGAATGTCCGTAACATTAGATTATTTAATTGAATGTTATTGACTCGGAGATACATCATTGAAAATGTAACCTATACAGTTATTTCTCCTGCACATTTTTGTCATGAGATTCGGTATCCATAAATTGCAATACGTTATGAAACTGCAGGAACAAAAACATGCTTGCGTTACCGTCTGGAAACCCTATAATTTCTGCGTTCATATAAAATATTGTAACCCTGATGACTTAAAGATAATATGTTTAGATGTTATTTTAATCTGTACCTGATTATGTTATCAGGTTACATGTAAGCTTATCCTGTATTTACTTTGATAATAATATTAATCATTAGACTACATGTATAGAACTTAGTAACGGTTTAAAAAATACATCGTTTTGATTAATTACAAAAATTTAATGGTATGTCTAACTTGGAGATATCAGTGTTCAGAAATATTAAAATCCCTTTTCCATTTATAAATTTGAGCGAGATAAAAATTATATAGCAAGTAAATAGTAATTCATAATTGTAATTGAGACTTTATTTTTTAAGCTAAAGCATGTCTACAACGCTATCGAACCAGGCTCAAATGCAGTATGTCATTCAGTGGTTTCAAGAATGGTCAGAAATGCAACGTGGTGATTTCTTAGATATAGTAATGGATCATTGGAGCAATCATTTGGGATTAGTTGATGGTCTAACCCCAGGAATCGAACGTTTAACCTGTAAGGATGAGTCTATCAGATCACACCGAAGTTTATTTCAATGTCGTGTTAAACTTTTTCGGGAATGGAGCGAGAATTGGACACAACAAGAGAAGGACACGTTGTTGTCTACAATTAAGGCTGAAGACCCCAAGTTTGCTGAGAAGTACGAACAAAGGCTGTTAGAAAAGACTGCACCAGAGAAAGACTCTTCGTAGTTATCGTTGATTTTGGGACATTAAATGTGTATTTTGTAAAATAATGGGTAAAAGTGATTTTATGACATATTTATGTTAAAAAAGATTTCCTTGGCAGCTAATTATACATTAAAATAATGAAGTCAGAAAAGCAGTATAAAGGAAAAAGCTAACTGAAAACCAATTTATACCAGTCTCGCAAATGATAGGTCTGAAAAGCCAGTGAATTACAACGAATATTAATATCAATAGTTCTAAACGGAAATAGAGTCATTATGTTAATAACTATGTTCCTATCGCTACATACGTTCCACATGAAACATTCCGAGATTCTAGTTTTTCAAGTGTGTGTAAACTAAGATTGCAAATTTGCACCAATATAATGTTTGAATGTTTCATTCCAATGCAGAATATTGTTTGTGAAAATTAAACTAAAGTACCCTCTGTAAAGGGAAAATATATACGTAACATCCTATAAGATGTACTGTTTTTTTACCGTTATTTATACCTTGAATTAAGTCGAAAATTGTATGTGTATTTATGTGAAAATATACTGACTTGCCATACATTCATTGGATCAGTACGGCAAATGATTCAATGTTAGTTATATTTTATGTATTACATATCACAGTTCTATGTTGAATTTTAGTATACTTATAGATCCTATGATCAATGTATAGATGTAACTGAATAATTCCGAAATAATTGTTCCCTTTAATGTATGGACAATATAATGTTAATTATTATTTAAATGGAATTCGCGCGAGAAGGAATTATACATCATGGTGTTTTAAAAGGCAGCCTGCATAATTATATCACACTTAAACGTATTTATACTATGTAATTTTCTGTAAATTATGAATAAATTAATCTGAGAGTAATCATTATACACGCACGACAATCTCTAATCCGTACCGATTAAATGATATAACAAAAACGTACTTCCATTATTTCAATATCTCTACATCCTTCATGTTTTCTCCGCTTGCTGAAGCCATTTAATGCATATAGCCTTAATTGCGTGTTGGCCCAGCCTGTCGGCATACTTCAAGATTTTTCGTATATCTTGCTGACTGGAATTTTTAACTGCGAGCAAGTATGCCGCCTTTAATTGCTTGCTTTCAATGTACGAATTTATCTAAAAGAAAGGCAAGCAATTATTATCATTATAAATTTGTCTTGATATTAAAGGGTTTCTAAAAATCTAGAAAATAATTAATGTGTACCCTACCTTGATTTCTGCGTCTGAAATGAGTCTAATAAGCGTGTCCACTTGACCTTTCGCGTTCGAGACTGTTTCAACATGGGAACGACTGAGTAGGAGTTTCACGCAGTGTGCTAAAACATTGTCGGATATCGCGAGAGAATCTGCTGCACCCGAGCTTCTACAACATTTTATTAATTGCTCTATGGAATTAACTTTCCTTTCCAATGCCAAAACATGACCAGCTAAGGAATAGACCTTTTCTGGACGAAGATTGTAATCTGTAAAAGAGGTTATGTGAACTTTCAAGTGTTCGATGTGAAAACTAAACCATACGGTATAGAAAGAGAATGTTCATCTTACCTTGTAATATTCTAAAGGCCATTCCAAAGCCTTCTTCAACATCACGGCCGCATAGAATCGCCAAAACGGCTAAGTGAGTCTTTTGCTGTTGATTTCCAAATAGAGTAGGTAATTCGCGTGCATAAGAACTGTCACTGCTCAGATCGGAAAGATGATTCAAGAATTGACCAGTCATCCTGCCCTCCTTTTCAGCATTACCCAAAAACTTGACAATTTCCATTTGTCTGCATATCGTATTAATGTGCCTGTCAATTTCCGAAGGCTCCATTTCCATCTTCAGACATCCATGACCACTCTGAATGGAGGCGTTACTTTTTCTTCGTTTCTTTGTAAAGGTTTTCACCTGCAACTCACTCTCCAAATGTTTCTGAGCATCAACCAGAAGATGGGTCCTCGTGCTTAGATCCATGTAACTACTCATATCATTCGTATAAAATCGAATGCACGTCATGGATGCCCTCACATAATCCTTCATAAAGATCTGGAGTTGATACAAAGTCTCAAGGAATTGTTTCCTCTCCAAATTATGGCAAACTGTCACCAAGTACTTCTTCCATGTCAACAAACTGAAGTCCCTAGCTAACATCGCCTCCTTAAGTACCTCAATGGTACCATTTTTCAGACACCGCAGATAGACTCCATGAAAGAACAATTCAGGATCGACTTCGTGTTCAAGAACGTAAGAAAGACACTTGTCAATCTCTCCGTACTTGACAAAGAATTCCAAAATGGAGCAACTGCTTCCGTACATGACCAAATAATGCAAGCTCTCTTGATAATATGGATTCGAGGCGTTCCAGCTTAAGCTTGGGACGATACATTGTCCTTGACTAATGGCCTTCAAACTGTTCAGAGCATTCAGAACATCCTGTGCGCCCGCAGTTTTGTTTTGCGTAGTATGCGTCAGTGACTGATTATTTACATGAGAATTCTCCAGGATTTGCAGGATCTCCAGAAGCAGAGGCGGATCCTTAATAGGGCGGCTCTTCAGAACTTCGTGCCTTTTTGGGCCAGCCGAACCAGAGGCTGTGGACTCTCCTTTAGAGTCTCTTCTAGATAATCCCATGGCTGTTTCGGTCGAATGGGACACCAGAACCCAGTCGTCCAGATCCTCGTAAAGAACCTTATCCAAACAATGCATGAATTTTTCTCTGGCCTGGGAGAACAAGCCGACTTTCAGACACGACTTGCCCCACGCAGCCCATACTCCTTGGGTTTCCAATCCCGACTTCGTGCTCACGTCCAACGCCAGGGTCCACTGCTCCTTCTCCGTCAACAAATCTCTGAGCCTTCTCAAGGCGTGCTCGTCCAAATCTCCGGACGGTAATAGAGCTAAACAGTCCAACTGCACAAGCGTGGTGATCAGATCCACTTGCGAAAGGAACCGATCGCAATGAGCAAGCCCTGCATTGAGGCCCAGTTTAGCGCACTTCACTTTTGCAGCCACGAGCAGGGACTTTATCATCTTAATAATCAACGAATGGTCCACTTCGGGGTTGACCTTCCCGCCGACTGGCTGCAGCAGTTGCTTCATCTCGTCGCACCTGTCCAAAAGGAAGCTGCAACAGCACGATTTTACAAAGTTGTAATATAACTATGAAAAGAGTTTCAATTATATTAACGTGGAATACACAGAGTTGTATAAACAGAAGCCCAATTATCCTGGAAAAACACTCATCGAGAGGCGCTGACTCGTATATGTATATTTTCTTGAAAATTCCAATGTCTTCGACAGAAATATGTATCGGTCCTATTTCAGATCCGAATTGGTTTGCGTTTACGTTACCTGGCGTAGGCTTTATGGTCGGAATGCAAATTAAGTATGGCCAAGCACAGCGAGACATTAGGGGCGTGCTCGAAGGAGAACTCCTCCCTGACCGAGCGATCGTGACTTTGGTCGAGGGTCAGTCGCCAGCAGTCGAAGACCTCGCTGCCGGGCACGGAAGGCGCCCCTTGGGCCGATCTCAGTTGCGAGCTCGTTTGGCGTTTACAATCGTCGCATACGCGTACGAGTACCGAGTTAGGGTACCCGGGTACTCGCATGCGTTGCTGTGAGCACACGGCGCACACCACGCGGCCGCATCTGCGGCAATGGTGACGCCTGTTGAACATCGAGAATATTACAGCCCTGCAGCAACTGCACTCCCTGGCCTGTCAGTCAACACATTTCAGATTTGCATGGATCTTGCTTTGTCTTCCTCGCCGATCTACTGGAATTTCTAGGGGTGTACGGGTAATGAATTATGCCGAATCGAATTATTTCGACGATAATGCGAGACGCTAGTAGCTGAATGTCGTATTCGAACAGAGAGAATTTTGATAAGACGATTTAAATGGAAAACCCGAACCGACTCGACGATTTCGAGTACTTCCGTAGCCCTAGTAATTTCTCAAAATTAGGTACCCATATACTCCTAGTAACTTCTTAGAGGTGAGCATTAATCTTGAGAACCGAATTCGTTCTTGCGAGACTCACCTTGTCATTTGGCACCCACTCCTCCTTTGTGGGGATATTTAGAGGCATTACGAATTCGGTGGCATCCGTCTCGCTAAAAGATCTCGATATTTCCTTCGATTTATTTTCGATACCTTCCCTCTGGATCGCCACTCGAAAATCCAGAGACTTTCCGGCGTAGAATCTTACGATTGCATCGAACTCTTCGATCGGAATCTCTGCTCGTTTCAAGCTCTCTTGTACTTTATTCAGTATCTTCTGGAGGTTCTCAAATTTACAATTCATGAGGAGTTGCTCCAACATTAGCAGCGGCTCCTCTATCAGGTGAACATAGAACGATCTTTCTTTACTCTCCATATTACTTAGTATATTGATCCCCGTCAAGGATCTTCGATACTTTGGACTTTCCGAAGAGCTACAATGCTCGAGCAAATATTTGTTAACAAATTGTAATGCGTGAATCGATTCCAGCTTTCCTAGGACCCCTTTGCACATTTTAATGGAATGGTTTATAGGAAGTGCTTGTAGTAACTGAAAAAGTATTATTTTAGTCTTAGAATAAAGTACTTTGCAATGTGTACTAAATATAGTAATAAAAAATCTGTAATAACATTTTTTAAAATAAAAAGTAATTTCAAGAAAATTTACTAACCTTCGATGCTTGTTTGAAATCGTGATGGTCATTTTTTAACAGGCCGATAAGTAAATCCTGCGTCACCAGAGATTGTATCTCGGGGGAAAATGCTTGATACTCCAACCACTCCAAACACAATTCAAATTTATTAGCATCGATTAAAGATTTCACTACGTGCACTGGATCGGTTTTATCGGTGCAGTAAACAACGTCATACCAAGTACCATCTTCTCCAGCGGTACAATATGGAAGCATTTTACGATATACGGTTACTCTACATAAAATTTCGTTCATCTCAAGTTTACAGTGATGGGGCAATTTATCTTTATCGACGTGATGTAATGCATAAAGCAGTGCATCCTCGCACACTCTTACAGGCCATTCCTTTATATTTAATAAAATCGTTTGAGCCAATATTTGAATGCTCTTGATTTGATGAATATAGGACAATACTTGCGAGTTGGTGGAATCCATTTGATCAGAAATAAGTCGACTAAGAACTTTGTCTCTGAAGCATTGGATCTCAACGTTCTTTAATAAAAATCGATCTGGCAGCGCATTGATTATTTCCAGACAAGTTTGCCAATTATTTTTCGATACTGCTGTTTCCAAATAGTTCCACAAACTGTTCATTACTACTTCATCTTGAATTCCAGATAGGGTCTGATTATCATAAAACAGACTTTTCAAAGTCTTAGCCCATGGTGAATTGATGAGGTTTTCCAAGCAAGATGTGCGCTTTAAATTATCACAGTTGGTCTTCCAAATCGTAGGACTTTCTTCATGGATTCTTTGAACAAGATAGGGGAGAAGCCAGCAATGACCATCTAAATAATGCAGCAAAGTAGGTCTGATTTCTCTACTTTTCCAATTCACTGTGTCAGACTTTGTATCCACTTGATTAATGAAATTCTCTGACTGTAGGTCATCATCGGAGTACAATAATTTAATTTCATACACGTACTTTAATGGCATAAATTTTAATACTGAATTTTTTTCTGACAATTTTGACCAATTATTTAATAGAAATTCATCTTGAAGTTCACTAGTATCATCCATGTCAGTTTTCAGATTTAAATGCTGCAAAGCAGAGTTCTGATAACGTTGCATTAATTCAGGAAGCCAGATAACATTTTCTTCGTGTAAGTTGTTAGTATAATTTATATTAGACATCGAAACAAAGTGTTTGATGTATTCTTTAGCTGCTTCATTTAAATCTCGGTCTAAAGTATCCGAATAATAAATCTGTGAAAACCCAAGTCATTCAGCAATAAATACAACATAGTTCTTTAAATACATATAAAATTCAAATAGTAAGCATATCATTTAAAAATTAGCTTACTTGAATTCTAGGTGTTCCATAAAATTCATTGGCCATTGTGAAAATGGTCTTTGGATCTTGAGTCAAGTCTAAGTCTTGCCAAGCCACTTCGTTCAGATCTTCCATTTGTGTAAAGAATTCAAAGTTCCATGCTAAACTGCCAAGAAGTTTAAGTCTAAGTGTTGCTAGAGTCACTAAGCCCAGGTCACCGATTTCGTAACCTGTTGCCATCAATGAAACCGTATGCCTCAATTTATTAAACGGAGGATCTTGAGACCACACGACCAGAATTGTATGCAGAAAAAGAAGATTCCAAATGTTCAAGAAAAATGCTAAGGTTTCATTGCCCACTGATAAATCACTGAGATCTAACGTTGCCAAACATGATGTCTTCGTTAGAACTGATTGAACCTCCGTATGCTTTGATACACTCTTTAATTGGTTGAAAGTTAATCTCGATTTTCCAGGATGTAAACGACGAAAAACTTGTAAAATTTCTGATAAGAGATCCACTACACATTTATTTGGATCCTGCTCGCAGGACTTCCAACAGTCCTAGAATGGAACGTTTAAAAATTAACAAATGTGTTCAGGGCTGAATGTCAATGAATGAAGGTTATGAAATTCTTAATGTAATTGCAGGTGTTTGATTTTTTTTTAGATAATTACAGTATCATGATCATTTTAATTTGTTATAGACAAATCAAATCATTCCTTACCACTTTCTCCGAGGTTTTATTTAGAATGATGTAGCCCCATTTATTATTGTCATTAGTGACGTTGGAATCAATATTGTAAGAAAGTTTTGGACAACAGTTTATTAGGACGCTGTATACTAAATTTACTCCAAGTGTATTTGCAATAGGTATTAGTTTATCAGGATCGACGTTAAGATCAAATATCTGATGGCCTAGGTAAAAATCAAGAGATTCTTTCAGTACATCAAATTCCATAAAGCCATCATCTTCTGAAACGAAAAATAAAGTCATATGAATACCAGCAAATCATTTTATTATCTATTGGAAATTACAAGAACCTACCATTATTTTCCCAAATTAACGTGGAAAGTAACTTTGCGTGAGCATATATTTTATGAAGATATTTGTCCCCGTCATTACAGAGTGATAAAATCTTTTGAAAACTTTCTTGAGCCATGTGATTGTTGATTTTAAGTTGGCCTATGGTGTGGTCATCGATGGAACAAGACTTCCTATATCCCTGCAATCTTTCAGTCAATTCAGACCAGAAATTATTCTCACTCTTCCATTCTTTTATTAAGAGAGGTATCTGCGCATTCGACAATATATCCATTAAGGACATTTTCAGTTTACTTTCATGGAACAATCGATAGATCTTTGAGAAATATGTGAAGTGACCAGTATTCTCCAACTTCTTGCAAAGCTTTAAATGTTTCATTGCCACGTCACAGAGAATGGCACAGCTTAGCCAATTTTTACCCATTGTTAATGCTAAATCTAATACTGTCATGGTTGCATCCTCAGAATTAACAACTTCAGAATTTAATAATCGTACATTGACTTCCTGCGAAGCAAGGAACGTTTCTAGGAAACTCGTAAGGCGAAACGCTTGAATGCTCCCATACACTGTGTGTCTTAAATTCTAAAATTTTAATATATTATACATTAACATACGTTATTAATCATATTCTGAAATAGAAAGAAATTTAAAAATAAATTAATCGAACCTCCAACATTGAGAGACTTGTTTGTTCTTTTGGTGCGTCGTTTGTGCATGAGAAATCAATTAGTTTTTCCAACTCTTTTCGCAAATCCTGCAATGTCTTCGAGAAACGAATCTCGCCGTCCAAATCCGTATTTCGCATGTTAAACATCTGAAAATCAAGGCAGACATATTAACACGTATCTGTATTATAGGTTAAGAACACTGTCATCGATACTGCTACTATGCGATGGTACAAACTTTTAATTCTAATAAGTTTCGCAATAAAATATGTCCACTCTTTCTGGCCTCCTTCTTTTAAAGTTAAGTATTGTAATAACATTAGAAAACAAAATCACTGTAAACTTGAAACTTGTTGATGATTGTGACAAGACAATGTTGATTTCCAGGTAGATTTAAATGAAAAGGAAACATTTATAATTTCATTAGATGATGAAGACTACAATGAGGAAAATGAAAACGAAATGGTTCAACCAGTTGACCTTGTAAAGATCGAATCGCAATATCATGACAAATTAAAATATTCTCATGTTGAACGATTTAATAAGCAAACAACTGATGCTTCGCTACATTCTGAAGCACTCAATTATGAATCTGAGTTTGGAGGAAACCCACCATTCATTGCTGGGTTTCGAGATGAACTGAATCAGGTGAAGATATTAATGTGCAATGAATCACTGTAACACAAGCAAAAGAGCTTCAACAAGTTGATTGCTGTAAATTTGATATTCAGATTTAATAAGATTGAGTAGGCAACGTATTAGGAAATTCATAAATTTCTCAAAACTATATAACATGGAAAGAAAATTCATGTGTTTATTTTTATCCATTACAGTACAATTTCGAAGGCCCGAAAGAGAAAACAAAGAATCCTGGACAGAAGAAAAGAGAAATCCCTTCGCAGTCAAAGGCTGAGAAAGCGATAAGAAATTATTCGAGTCATGATGTGGTTAAAGATGTAAGTAGTTTCGAAATTTTAACGAAACTGATGATTGAAGTTAGTCGAGAAAAGCGAAATATAAAGAAAAACAGAAGCTTAATGTCGCGTCTAAATTTATTTGAAAATAAAGGGCGAACCAGGGAGGCAAAGAGAGACAAAAGCGTTACCAAAATATCTAACTTGGAATATTTAAGAAAACTGAGTGCTCCAGCAAATGCCGCCACGGAAAGAATTAGAAGAGAAGATACTAAGATGTCAAACTTGGAATATTTGAGAAAACTTGGTTCTCCTGCAAACAATTCTACAGTTAAAAATGAGGAAAACAGTAGTACAACCGTAATGACCAACTTAGAATATTTAAAGAAATTACCATTTTCTGTACACTCAACTACGCCGAAGGCAGATGAAACAGAGAGTACTACTAAACTGTCCAATTTAGAATATTTACAAAAATTAGGTACATCCACAAGAGGGGATCTAGAGATCAATAATGGAAAAGCTTCTATAGGGCATCAAAAATATACTTCCTCTGAAGTAGAGAGCACTACAAGTTTAAATTTATATACTTCAATACCTATTACAATATCAGAAAAAGGTGATACTGTAAATGATTTTGTCATGTTTACCCAACCCTCCATGACCACTTCAGAAAGTAGAGATTTCGAAGAAGAAGTTTACGATTATGAAAAATTTAAAGCTGAATACTACCAACAAATTGAAGAGAATATAAGAAACAATAAGACCTTTAATTACACAAATGATGGGAGATCTGAAGAAACGGTAAAGGATACATTTGTAGAACTTGTAAACTTCAAAAAGCCCAAAAATTGTACGAAAGAAGAATTAAACCAATTTGGTATTACGGCATTAAAATGTTTGACAATACAGTACCAGCATGCTAAAAATAGTACTGACGTGAAAAACATTTTATCCAGAATATGGATAATTGTGAGAGTTTGGATATGTATATATGCATGTATTGCAATTCCTTGCTGGTGCCAAAAAGGTATTTTTTTCATATTACATTTATTAATTTGTTGTTTTAATTATATTTCACACTTTCAGGTTGGTGTTGTTGGTGTTTTCGATGTGAGTTTTGCTTCCCAAAGGAAAGAATATCAAAAGCCAAAGAGTATTTTGCTAATAATCTACCAGGAACTTGGATTCAAGAAACAACAGGAAAAAATAGGAAGCTAGAAACTGTCAAATATAAACCTACATTATTTGAACTGGAGGCATATGAAAAGTTTGAAAGTGCTATAAGAAATTTATAACAATCGGTATTGTTAAGTGTTTTAGTCGGTTACCTCAACAACTTGCTGGGCCTTTTCATAATTTCCTTTCCATAAACAGTGTGCAACTAAGTTTTTCTTTGATGCTAGCATAAAACTAATGATGTCTGATCCCTCCTTGAAATTATGTAGCACACATGAGTCCAATGTTGACGTAATATTTCTTGATCGTTTTCTGCGCCTTTTATTGCCTGTTGTATTCCCAGGAGAACCTGTTTCCGAACTGCCATCTACGTCAGACTTTAATTCGGTTTCATCTGATGAACTTTCGTATTGTGAATAAAAAGTAGATTTACTTTTAGGTCGAAGTGAAGAGTTCAGTTTCTCGTTACGGAATCTCATTGCATAACCTTTTATATATTCTTTAGCTTGTTCATTATAATCAACCGTTCCTGCATTTTGAATAAAATTAGAACATGTAAATAATTCTAGACGCCACATTGCATCCACAAGTGCTTTTGTAATAGATGACATGGTTTTCTGAATTACATCTACTTCATCCGAACAGGTATTTTCTTTTTTCAACTTAGCACATTCAATTCCAGTTTCCACAGTACACCTTTTTAGGAGATGTAAAATTTCTCTTACTGCATATGTGTTACAGACAAAGCCTGTTTCATAACATTCTAATTTAGTCTTCACTTTCTCTGAATATTTTTCTTCTAATGAAATAATCACTTCTTCTTCACCACCGTCGGAGCTGCTATCATATTCGTGAAAATCTTCATAACGAAGAAATAGCATGGAAAATATGTTCTCAATAGTCTCGAGTCTCAATGACAGTGGATATAATGACTGCAAGGATGATCTTACATTACACTGGTGTTCCATGATATCTTTGTAATTTGAACTATAAGATCCACATAATAAAATAATTTTTAAAGCATGCAACATTATATGGTATGCTTGGAAGATGTTTAAAGTTTCTGACGACTCCTTCAATAAAAGTTTAATCTCATTGTAATCTATTTCATGAATATTAATAATCATATGCAAAACTGCTAGTATGTTATGATCATGCAAAAGAGAAAAAACTCGTTTTATGGAGAATTTGTAATCCTCTTTGTTCAAATTGCCATTGCTTTCCAAGGCAGAGTCCTTTTGCTTCAGATTTATTTGCTTGCAGTTTAAAATCCACTCGACTACGTTTATATGACTTCTTAGTAGTATATTTAACATTTTTAATGTGTGGTCCTTTGTTCCAGAAAAGTTACATTTATCAAGAAGGAACTTCAAATTGTTACATATATCCCTGCCATTGTCTAATGCTTTGGAAGATGACACAATAGGTGAGTTTGGGCAATCGCTGATGTACTTAAATAATAAAGTTGGCCATAGATGTTCCAATAATGAAGATGATAAAATTGTAGTTACCAGTTCATAATGACCATTTGTCAACAATGTGAAGCAAATGTTCTAAAAAAAAAAAAGAATCAAATTACATTCAGTGAAAGTAAGAAATTACATCGTAAGTTAATTTGAATGTTAAATATTTTAAACATACCACAACATCTGTCAGCCAATGACATTTCCTCTTGACAACCCTAGTCAATAATTCTTTGAAGTTGACAAATGTATGCCCATTGTCATCCAAAATAAATAATATTTCAAAAATGTTAAGTGATTCGCTCAATATATCAGCATTCTTGTATCGTGCACAAGTGGCATCTAAGAACTTAAACCACTCTGTTAAAAATTTGCTATCTTTTCTTGAGTAAAGTACGAGCTCAATGTCATCATTACTACACATTTTTAACAATTCCGGATAAAGCCATTGTAAAAGATCATTTTCCTTAGACTCGGTTAGTTCAATTCTGGATAAAATGCACAAAAACACTCCCCAATCTCTAGTACTCATAAAATTACTCCTATGAAAATGGTTTGTAGGTCTAATCGAAGAATTACTAGGCGATGCTTGTTGTAAACATCCTCTTTTAAGGATTCCTTTCAAAGCATCAATATAAGAGTTTTGTAAGGCAATGTCGGTAATAAGAAAATCAGTCGACCAAATGCACAATAACTTATTAAACAGAAAGCAAAGATCTGCAGGGTTTATCTGCAGATTGCTTTCTAAAAATGTCAAGGTTGTCTTAGATAAATTCTTAACATGAAAATAGTTTCCATGTTTCGCATTGGTAGTGGCAGTGTATAAGTCAAGTAATTCCTAAAATAAATCAACAGCATTATATCGATAATAAAACTAACGATATTCTAAGTAAAATACATTTAACATACTTGTTCAATGTCCTCTGGAATGTGGTTGTCAATGGCTCGAATGGCTATAAGAATTTCCAATAAATTGAGGTCTTCTTGAACTGCAATATTCTTTCCACATTCCAAATCTGACAATATATTTTGGGCAATCCATTGGATCTGCCAATTCTCCAAAGTTCTAGCGAAAGTAGATTTTACTTTGAATTAACTATAAACTTGAATTTGTTTGTAATACTTTTCAATAGAGCCCGATGACATGTTTATGCACAAACAAGGTAACGGTAAGAAAAGAACTTATACTTACATTGCCGATTTGATTAAAAACATCAACTCTTGCGGGTCGTGAATGGGCTCTTTTAACGATGAATCATTATTACGCTTCCGTAAAGCAGTCCAGGCAGTATACCATAACCTCGAAATGATATACAGACTTCCCTCTAAATTTTCCATTTTTGTTCAATATTCGATTAAGCATATTAGCATGTCGCACAAAATACTTTTATAAGTAACGCGTATTACCACTCGAAATTGTTATTCAGTTACAACATAATTCTAGTCACTGTAACACGTAATTTGGCTTTGTGATAGCATTAACCTGATTTTGTCACTGCTTGTAACACTTCGCACTTCAACGAATCTAAATTTGTACTTGATATGGCTTTCGGACAAGCACTTCGAGCCCAATACCAAACACCTTAAAAAGGAACCGTTCACAAAAGTCACGGCGGGAAGTCGTGTAAATAAATTAACGATGTCAAAGTACGCTCAACATGTTAAAGCATCTTGCGATTAGACTGCTGGACTACACTTCAAAGTGCGCTTAAGTGCACATAAGCGCGGGATTAACGGATGACAGCTGACAGAAATAATCTTTGGGAATAGCAGAGATGAACAGAGATGAGTTGGAAGATTGCTCACGGGCAGGTTCGCGCAATCGCATCCTGTGCTGTCCCCCGGTGTAGGATGTAGACGGCTAATGTACTTGCGACCTGATTGCACCCAATGGCGGCCCAATTCAGGGATCCTCCTTATCACTGCTCCCAACTCATCTCTATGATGACAAACATCGTTTAACATCTTTTAACATCTATTACCAACAAGCCCAGCAAAATCTGCAATTTTTGTTCAATACCAATTTTAACATTCACACTTCCAGCTTGGAGTATTGGTAAATCGATACCAGCCGTAAGCAATCACCCAACTCATCTCTGATTTTGAAACGGTGTCTCGGGTACCAGAGGCATCCGCAGGAATAACGGCGATCGTGTCGAAAAAGTTTGATAGCTGAGTACCGGAGAGTGCCGTAGAGTTGCCGGAGAGTGCCGCAGAGTGCCGGAGACTGCCCGCAGAGTGCCGGAGAGTGCCGGAGAGTGCCCGCAAAGTGCCGGAGGGTGCCGGAGAGTGCCGGAGAGTGCCGTAGAGTTGCCGGAGAGTGCAGGAGAGTTGCCGCAGAGTGCTGGAGAGTGCCGGAGAGTGTCGGAGAATGCTGGAGAGTGCCGCAGGTGCCGGAGAGTGCCGGATAGTCGCCGCAGATTGCTGGAGAGTGCCGGAGAGTGCCGCA